GTACATGAGACACTCTCATGTCCTATTCATGGAGTTCAAAAGCACTCAAAAATATAACAGCAGTGTGAAACTCTCTGTGCAGTTCTGTGTTCCGAACATTAGTGTATTTTCATAAATGAAAAACGATTGAGGACTTACAAACTATGATTTTGCACAAAATCTCTAAAGGAACCTATTCATTTTGGACTCAATTCTCCTAACTACATATTCTGTGGCAAAACTACTTTAGCTGATGTTAGATGGCTCCAGAAAATATATTTGTCTGTTGGCATATCATCCACTGAGGAGAAAAGACCACCTGTAAGATGATTCATCCTCATCTCTAGTGTTGTACCAGTTAGCTATAGTTTTAGCTCATTAACTCATCTGAGGCAGCCACTATTACTGATCCAATATCAAAATCAACAGATTTCCCTTGGCTATTTTTGAATATTAAACATGTTTTCAAATGTTTGATTCTGCATGGCAATAAATATTTGTGCAACCCCAGTGCTGTCACGAAAAGGTAAGTCCACAGCTTTTGGCCAGAAACATACAAATACAAATGAAAACACTCAGCCAGCGCATTGCAAATGCACAGTCTTTCTGTACAAACATGACATGCATTCCTATGTTACTGTGGTGATTAAATCACTGAGTACTGAAGAGGGCAACAATGTGACCTCCTCCAGCTGTACGGGCAACATCAACACGATAGTCAAATTCATCCCATACTCGATTGAGCATGTCGGGTGTCACTGTACTCACGGCTTTTTCAATGCGATTTCAGAGATCATCCAGTGTTGTCGGGAGTGGTGGCACATGAACAGAATCCTTAATGTACCCCCACAAAAGAAAGTCACATGGCGTGAGATCTGGTGATCTTGGGGGCCAGAAGTGGAGAACGCAAAGCGCTTTCTGCTCAGGGGTCGCCATCTCCCTGCAGACTGAAAGGAGTCATCTTCCGGTGACAGTCAGAAACTCTATGACCTCCTCTTTCAGTTGGTATATGATTGGTTCCTAGGCGCCTCATGGTTGTAAAAATATGGCGCTTTGAAATCGGCTTAATCTTTTTGAATCACTCTGTTCATATAAGCAAACCAGCATCCAACTGTTGGTCTGTTATGACCAGCAGAAAGCATGCTGGCAGTATGAGACAGCTTGGCCAGGTTTGGCTGTCATTATAGCACCCTTTGCAGTAAAGCTCACATCTGCACTTCCAGCTGCGACTGAAACAATTTTCTTTTTACCCTTTTTTAATTTATTTTTGGCTTTGGGGATGAGTAGAAAACAAAACCTTTCTATCGCGATATCTTTCAAAACTGCACAGCACATCTCTTGACCAAAATATATAAATATGTGTTGCTACAGACCTGACCTGAAAAGATCTGAAATGCCCCATAGTATGACATACGGTTTTTTGTCGTAAAACTGTGTACTACTTTGAACAGTAGCATGTAGTATACAATACTGTATATACTTGTGCAGTTTGAAGTATGTAGTAAAGTAGCATGCCATTTCGAATGCACTCCTTGTAGAATGCAATGATGCACAAAACTGTGTCTGTGTAGCTCGAAGCATCTGCGTTCATGTCCTGTAGAGAAACCTACCAAAACAGATTTTCTTTACAACAGTGAAGAGGTCCCAATGTCTGCAACGCAAATATAGCCATTTTATTTACCACGCAAAACCACAAGTGAACCCACACTGTGAACCGAGTTTATATATATTGATGTTGATAATGGTAAAATAATGGTCAAAAAATAAGTTTTCTTGAGGGACTATTTTGCCTTAGAACATCCTTCATGTATCCCTACACCATGAATGGATTAAAAAACTGTGGCGTTTACTGCTCTTAAAGAATGAGACAGCTTTGGCGCAAGTCGTTGTGCTTTGTTAACAGGCTGTAATCGGCCACAGGCACAGTGTGCAATAAGCAAGGCTTTTGGCTAACAGGTCACTTGACACTAAGACTTCTAGGTCTGACTGACACAATTCTTTTTTACAGGTATAAACACAGAGAGCGGGCTAGCCCTGTTCTTCACAATAAGAGTGAATAAATGTCTCCAACATTTCCCCAACACATTACAACACATTTATTAAAATATGTTTTAGACTAAAACTTTGTCACACAACTACAGTAAAGTCAATATTTCAGATATCAGGCGGCATATTCATAACTATTTCATGTAATAACTGTCTGTGAGCTTTTAGAGGAGGACATCCGCTTCCTATCACCATCACAACAAAGCACCAAACATCTCTGAATGACTTGTTGATATTTTAACTATTTAATCGTGCAGAAAGTTTGAAAAAAATGCTGGAGTTCCCCTTTAAGTACACTGTACTTGAATGCTCAATCTGGGTTTTTGTCCTCATGCTAACTGTCACCTCAGCCTGAACTTGCTTTGCTGGAGCAGGCTAACCACAACACATAAAAGAAAGCTCACACAGCCATTTTTAACTTTAAACTACTACTTAAGGGCAACAACTGGAATGGCATTTACTACTCCATTGTTTACTCTGCAGAGCTGAGTCTGAGCAATATTTCCTTGTCTTCATTCCACACTGGCACACACGCTAGACTCATCCTGCCTGTGAGTCAGAGAGGAAGATAAGGGGGAAGTTTGTATATTGGGGGGAGAGGGGGTGTAGGGGAGTGAAAAATATGGTAGAAATCTGTAACACTGTTACATGCCTGAACTTGCACTAGATCTGTCTCTAACAGAGGTCTGCCAAAAACACAACGTAGCTCATTCCAGACAAGAAGGGATGTAGCTGAACCTTCAGCACATGCACTTTAGTGGACTGTATAACCGAAGCAGTGTGAGAGTGTTATCATCTGTCATGGTGGTCAAACGTGAAGCCTAGAATGTTCAACGTAAATAATAAATTAACACATTCAACCAGAAACGAACCTACAAGAGCGGGCAAGATTATTAACATCAGCCTTATCAGTCAAATGACTGTCCATACTGCTACAGTCTGAAACTGATCACAATCGATTCTCAAAGTGATGGCTTGGCCAATAATCAAATTTACATAGTTTTCGCCTTAACTCCAAAAATAGGCGATCTATGAAGACGTATTTGTGTCTGAAGCTTGCTTTCTTTGGTTTGCAACAAAGCTATGAGGCTAATGTAGCTATAACAAGCAATGGAAGCTTATAATCAGAGTGGTGTCGCAGTACTCAAGAAGCTAGTCTTTATAAATAAGCGGTCTCGGTCTCGACCTCATTTGGACTCTGCCTTGTCTCGGTCTCAACCTCACTTCTCAGTCTTGTCTTGGTCTAAGGGTGGAAATTATTGTCGAAACCAGCCAAGGTCTGAGGTAATTGGAAGCTAGCAGCACCGAGTGGTAGTTGCTTGTTTTCATGTCTCAGAGCTACGTATTCACTGTGTATTTCCTTTGTTTTGGTTATGCTTGCACTTTTTTTTGTGTTAAAAACTGCAGTACCACCACAATCCCATAGGGGGCAGCCCCCAGGTTGAAAACCACTGTTGTATAGGTTCAAGTAAGATCTGCTGATTAAAGATCTAACTGATCCTCTCCAGGATGACTTAAGTGAATATTATTTGTTTGCTGACGTTCATTGGTTCGAAAGATCAAACATCCCCCAAGGGCATAATAATGATAAAAATGGGTGTAGTTTGATTTATGTTCATTTGACTTTAGGTGGGGATTCTGAATACATTTTGGAGAAGGGAACAGAGAATAACCTCACCATTAGCATATATATTTTCTGAAAAAAATCTTAATCTGGTCTTGGTCTTGACTTGGATTCAGATCTAGCGGTCTTGACTGGACAACACTACCCCACCCATTAGTACTGCACATGCTGCTATGACATACTATCATAATGATGAAGAATGTTGCTCAGCTAAAAACAGTAAAAGCTATCTTGAAGCCTGAATTTTGTCCATACTTTTGTCCATTTTTAAATGTATGTAGACTATAGTACCAGAATAGTCACTATTGATAAAGTGTCATTTAGCACACAAGTGAGTCTCGTTGAGATAACTTTTCAGACACCTAACATGCACTGGCTGATCAACATTTGGGCTATGTTATTGATGAGAATATTGTGTAACTTTGGCCTATCTTTTGGCATTGGCATTGAAAAACACGACAGAAAAATTCTGACTTCAGTTAAACTCTGCAGTCAGGTAAATAACCAGGACTGGACTTTGGTACCGGTGCTTAACACTGTCCGACTGTCAGTACTCTAAATTGTGATCCTACAGTGCCACCAAGTGGTCAAAAAATGCAGAGCTCATACTGACAAAGGTGATCATTAATAAAGCCTACAAATATAGGTTTTATAGAGTCCCCAGTACATTTTGCTCTATGGATCCAGTCAATACAATGATGCAGTTGTGTTCTACTCAGTATGAACTATCAGAATTTCCACAGTCTAAGACAACACATATAGGTTCACTGACTGTTTTGGACAGTAAACAAAATTTGTGCTATGTCATAAGCATGTTGTATCTCATCACCACCACCGTGAAGAAAATTTGAGTCTGTAAGTTTCTCTACAGTAAATCATTTTACATCAAACCACTCTGAATGTTTACATCTCACAGATTTAATTATGTTGAACATTAGAAAAAAAACTGTGGAATTCACGTAAATGGAATTCTACTGATTTTTTCAAATCAGTGGACTTTTTAGTGAACTGCTTGTTAGAATTAAACATCAATCTAAACATTAGTGTAACTAAATCTTATCACTTTCCATGCCTAGCCACAACCCTACCCTCACCTGAAGCCTAGCCTAACCATGACCCTAATGCTAAACATGCAGTTCCTAACTAAATCCAGACCCCTGTTTCATTTGATTCAACTGAGAAGGGGGTGATGATCACCAAGAGCAGGACTACAAAGCAATACTTTATGATACAATTTCCCAACTTTTTTCCGTATTTGTGAGGATATCATCACACGCATACATCAGAAGTAAATCTCAAAAACACAAAAAAAAATATTTCTGACCTCTAAATGATCATAAATGATATAATCTGAGACAAAGTGGAATGACTTTATTTTAATTCACAAAGAAACAGCCCGAATAAAGTAAAAAACCGGACAAAAGGACATTCGGCAGCAGTGGGAGGTTGTGCTTGGGCATGACATCGTTGTATTTCCGCAGTACAAAAATAAGCTGTCCATGTTCTGCCGGTACAGAAGTGCAGTTTGTCAAGTGTGTGCAGTAAGTGCTGTGTACTCCACATGATTCTGAACACACTTTTGGAACAGTTATTGACACCTGGTGGCCAAAACAGGTACTGCAGCAACATGTCACAGGTCAACATGTTCTGTTACCCTGTTGGTAGATTCGGAATCCTCAGCATCAGACGCAGGTCCTTCCTGACTCTCCTCTGATAAGACAGGAATATGACAAAATAAGTTCACCGCACAAAGGAGAACAAATGGCATAATGTGTAAGATTTTCCTATATCAGGATTGCACCCTGAAATGTTCCTTGAATAAAGCTGCTCTCAACAATCATATATCAGACATGATTAGGTCCAAAGGGCATCAGCACCGTGCGAATACATAGAACTTTAAAGGAACATTCTACCATGTTCAACCTAAACTCAACCTGCAGATTAATAGCATGCAGTCATTTACCACAATCATTTTGACGTGTCTGCATGTAGTTAGAAAAACAAAGCATAACACCTGATGACTTGAAACACACTAAATAAAGAAGCTATTGGGCAGTTGCTGAAATTGGTCAGTAAATAGTTATAATTTTTTTTTCTTTTTTTAAGACGACTTTCACATATATTTGTCAGTAACATTGTATATCTGCTTGACTTGCCCTTTCAAAGTTGGCACAAGTTTTCCAGAGAGGATGCTATTTGTGTTAGGGATGGGCAGAATGAGGCTTCTGAAGTAGTAACACGTTTGAAGCAGTAACACATTGGGAGCAAAAATGGTTCTGACACTCAGCTCTACCATGACATCTGTTGGGCCATAAAAAAAACCAAAAAACCAAAAAACCAAAAAAAACACACATAATAAAAAGACTAACAATACCATCATTTGTTTCATTTCAGCATGAAAACAACAGTATTCAAACATACAAACACAGTATTCAAAGAGAACTCAGTCAAAATTTGGTGAAATGAATTATCTACTATAGTCATCATATCTTCATCAGTGTAATGTTGATTTTTCATCTGAGACCTAAACATCGAGCTGGACCTTCTTTTTAAACTTGTGTGTGTGAGTTTAATGTGTACAGACATGTGGCATGGTCTGAAAAACTCCTGCGAAATCTGATTGAAGGCCTCTGACTTTTAAGTAGCTATTTCATGTTTCACAGGGTGACTCGCGGCAGTGCACACACAAAATAGTTTAGCATGTTTTTTTTCTTCTGACTCTTTTCTTCTTTCAGTGGTAAGAAAAAAATCTTACAGCTGTAAATGTGTGTCAAACTCCATAATCAACTCATGGCACTTTACACTAGAATAGGACAGGGGAACTGATGAGCCCCGTATTTTAAACCTGCGTGACATAAAGTAATCACATGATCAGTGCTACTTTGAGCAATGCTTTCACATAATAATGGAATAATGGTGTAGGTCATAGGTGCCAACCACAGGAGGGCACTAGGTCATGTGCCCTCCCCAAAAATAAAGAAGGGGGGACGAGGCTTCCCAATCCTAGTGCAAAGTTCAACAAAAGCTGTGGTAGTGAAACTGCACAGAACAGTCTGAAAACAGATGCTGTAATGAAACTGCATTTAACAGTAGGATATTTGTGTGTGTGTGTATATATACATATACATATATATATATACACACACATACATATATACATACATACATATATTTGTATACACACATATGTATATGTATACACATATATATATATATATACACATATATATATATATATATATATACACACACACACACAAACACACCAAAACAGATCTCAGTAAATCGACACTGACACATTAATTAAAAGACTCATTTTGTAAGGACAGTAGTGAGTGATCAGTGTTTATGTAAGATTTGTTAGATGTAGAGATTATTTAATTACACTGTTTTGGACGTTTACTTTGGACTCATTTTGGGTCAGTTTTAGATTCAGGTTAGTTTTACGTAAACTTTTGGCTGTCCATCCTGTTTCACTCTGTGGGGCATGAGCGATGCAGCCACATAACTGCGTGCTTCAGTGCTGCTTCACTCACGCCGTCTGTGCGAAATCTCTGACATGAGCACTGAAACGAAAAGAGAGACCTTCCGCGTCGCTCCCACCATGCAGAGGTAGTGTTTTAAATAAACAATATTTCCACTTAATAATGATATAAGTAAACATTATGAGCAGATCACACACTATTTTCCCCGACTGTGATCTGATCATTATGTTACGAGATGACAGCAGTGCAAAGCAATCATCAAGGTATATGATAATGAACATGAAATAAATTATTAATAATTTACATATGATTCCTGTTCTTACGTCAACGTCCTTCTCACCAAATTAAACGTCTGTCATCGGAATACCACATAAATTCTATTTTTTATTTTTTTATTTATTTATTTTTTTGGCACCCTCACCCAATATTTAACTGAAGTTGGTGTTCATGGCGTAAGGAGCAATTTTCACAAGCTCCTGCCCCATCATCACACAAGGGAGGAAAAAAATGAAAGAAAACTTAGGAAAAGAGAAAGTGTTGTTACTCCAGTGTTGCAAAGTTGGCCAAATCTTCAGAAGGATAGCTCTGCTAAGATTTTCTCTCATGTATGTCTCATCCTAAGGCCTGTATTGTTAGAATGCACAGTGATGGAAAATACTCGAGGTATAGTACTTTGTTGTGATACTTTTCTACAATAAATCATTATTGTACACTTAGATTTTCAAGAGAAACTTGTTACACCTTGTTACAAATCTCAAAAAGATCCGGAGATCATGACATCTTTGTGCAAGAAACAGTACAGCCTATTAGTCACAATGTGCAGTGCTGATGAGGAACAGGACTGCAGTGTGCTGCTGACTGAGTGAAGGATAATACTGCATGATGAGATGGTCATGACAATATCACATTATGTATTAGGGATATTACAATGCAAATTGTGACAATGTGCACTGCAGAGAATAGATATTCTGTTAATAAACATCTGTAATCGATCAGCACCAATCAACACCTCAGCACAGCACTCCTTCTGCCTCCCAGCTCTACAGATGCTAGTACGCTGTGCAACAATGTGGTTACAGTAATAATTTTTTAAATAAATTATGTATCGTAAATCTAATCAAATCATGAATGTATTGTTACACCTCTACATTGTATGCACTGCAAGTTTATCCTAGCGTTAAAGGGTAAAATGAATTTTACAAGCATGTAGAAGTTAATGGCATTTAGACCAATTCGCTAGTTTGGATTATGCGGCACATGATCAGTTTGTGAGCAGCTGAAAAGTCAGTTTAATATTTTAAAATAATAATAATAATAATAATAATAATAATAATAATAATAATAAGTAGGAGGATAAAGAAAGCAAGAAAGAAAGAAAGAAACTAGTTTACTAGTTACCTTTTACTTTTATATAAACTTATATATTTTTTGTTCCACCTATCTGACAGTAACAACACAGATGTAGTAGATAGAGATCAATTTGAAAAATGCTGGAATATTCCTAAAGTAGTTACATGTACAGATACCTGGTTCTGGCTGCTGAACACAGATTCCATCTTGCTCCTGAAAGCCACTGGCGCACCGACACTTGTAGCTGCCTTTAGTGTTGACACACTCCTGGTGTTCCTCTGTGCACACTGCGTCAGGCAGCTCACACTCGTTCACATCTACCAAGAAAGGAAAAAGTGGAAACAATAAGTGCAAACATTATCATCAGCAGAGCCAGGCACTAAGCAAACACACAGCCACTTTAGGACTTCTGCAGGTGAACGTTACGTGCCTGTGCAGGTGCCCTCTTCATCCTTGTAGCCCTCAGAGCAGGCCAGGCAGTTTCCAGGCCCCGGTCCTTTACAGCCTGAACATCTGTTATCACACACTGTGGAAAAGAAAGAAATGGGCTAATTCAGTGATTAAACATGCACACACTACTAACGTCACTTTATTCACGTATTCATTTCACATTTCCATTTAAATTATAATGCTTCAATGTTTTGCTCATCACTTTGAGATTGTAGCTAAAAGTAAAAAAAGTAACATAGATTAAATAAAAATGAAGTGAAATAAATAACAATTAAATAATTAACAACAACAACAACAACAACAACAAATAAGTGACAATTATCATCAATGTATTGTGTTGATTTGACTCTTTGAGACTATGATGAATTGAAAAGTTCACAAACCATTGCAGGTATAAGATCCATCTGTGTTAAGGCAGTACTCTTTGTCTTTGCATGGAGAGGGATCGTTGGAGCACTCGTTGATGTCTGAAAGCATGTATAAAGAAAAAAAAAAAAAAATCAAGACTAAGAAAGGAGAAGAGCTTGAAATACCTGTCCCAACCCAATGAGAGTTAGGTTCAGAAGTCATTTCTCAAATATGGCTCTTGTAGAGTTCAAATTCATGTTCAGGTTCTCTCCTGCCACTTTTAAACACAACTTACCTTGCATTTCCCTCTGCTTTAGTTTTACTTTTTACTTTATTCTACCTCCCTACTTTCATTACCTTAAAACAGTTTTCAATCTGCTTGCTGGAGTCACTCACTCATAAGAAAATGGATAATGTACTAAAAAATGTTTGGCATGTTTAAAAGCATTGTGTGATGAATACATTTGTTAAAGCGTGATTTTTTTTTACTTTATTTTGAACAGCTGATTATTTTCTGTTGTCTTATTTTATTTTATTGGTCTGTGATGTAACGATGGCTATGTGGTAAATTAACCAGCACGATCCTGTTGCACTTTATTCAGCACTTTGGGTGATTGATGAACCGTTTCAGACACAATTTGGCGGCCAGGGGTGAGTTACGGACTCAAAAACAGGATAATGTGGGCTGGGTTTGTACACAATTTTGTTGGGCTTGGCGGATTTGGACAGAAAATTCTCAGGCTGTATTTGTATTTGAAAATTTCAAGCCCAATTAAAGTTCAAGAAAGGAGCAAGAATAGGAAACAGGCTTTGGGCTGTGACTATTTGTGAAAAATGAAGAAAATCTGTTATTTAAATGTAGGATTATGCTTAAATCTGTCTAAAAACTTGCACAGGGCTGCACAATATATTGTTTGTTAATTGTTATCACAATACTGCCATTCGCAGTACTGATATCACAGAGGGCTGCAATGCAAATAAGCATTCTAATCAATCACTAAGGGCTGGTTTGGCAGACTTGAAATAAGTCTAGACTAAAAAGAACTCCTAATGGTGATTCATCATTGGCCCTGCATTTTAGTCTAAGACTAGTCTTCATCCTAGTCTGGGAAACTGATTAGTGTTTATGTGCTGTGAGCACTCTGACCAGCCTCAGAGGCTCCAGACATGTTTCTGAGGCTGTTTTGATAAATGGAAGGCAAGCACATGATTTAACAAACATAAATCATTTTGAACAAAATGATGCAGGCCACTTTTTTATCCTCATCATATCACGCATCCACTAGTATGTTTTTAATGAGCAAGTTGTATTCTAACCACAATATGTAGCAGCTGGCTCAGAAGCAGGCAAATTACATTTAAAAAGTGACAGTTACAAGTTTCATTCATTCAACGAAATGTTTTTCTTACCAATGCATGCGCCTTCCTGGTCTTCCTCCCAGCCTTCCCTGCACTCCTCACAGTCCTCAGCAGTGGCTCCAGAGCACTTAGTGCAAGACGGATGACATTCTGGAAAAAAAAGGAGCGCAACATTCAGTCTATAGGTTCAATCTATAGTATCACAAAATAGCATGAAGCTGCTTCTGGATTTCATCACTATTGCTTCTAATCAGACTGATAAGTGATAAATGATACGACAAGTTCACCCGATACATAATATACAGTTTCGTCATCATATTTTCGAGGTAACAGTGAACAATTAGAATTGATACTACACACAGAATACCATCTTTTCTCCCCATTTTTTATGAGGAAGACTCATATTACGTTATAACATGCTCCACATGATCTGCATTGCTTACCTTTGCACAAGGAAAAGGTATCATTCCTCTCTTCGCTGAAATATCTTTCAGCACAATCCAGACAAAACTCTCCTTCATATCCAGAGTCACAAGAGCACTTGCCATTTCCTCCCCTCGTCCCATCACCATCGCACCTGCCGTTGCCATGGCAAGGTCTTTCAGCTCCTCCTACACATGCTAAATGAAACAACAAAGATGTTACTTAATGCTGACATAAAACAGACCAATCGGTGTTCAAAATCCTGGAATTTACTTACAGTTACAGTCTGGTCCAAACATTCCTTTCGGACAGCACACTTTGATGGTTTCAATGCAAAACCATTTATGCAGGTCTGGGTGTTTAGTTTTCCTGCAAACAGCAATATATTACGCTTTAACATTTTCCAAACTAGTCATAAGGAATCTGCACGATACAAGCTAAACATTGAAGAGTTGCTGTTGTTTAAGTTCAGAAGACAAGAGGCCTAACCTCTTGAACCACCAGGTCTCAAATTGCTCCTCATGTTCTTCCAACATGTGATTACACTCAAAACTGCTGCTTTCACACAAGCCCTCCAGAATCTCCATCAGCCGAATCTCACTGGGAAGGAAATCAACACAGCGTTACTTGGCAGTGGCACACAAAGTGAATAACGTCAACAAAGTGTAGAAAGTAGATCTCAGTAGGTGCAATTATCGGTATCAGCATCGGACAGATGTTTAGATTTAATTGATATTTTATATATTGATATTTTACTCCAGAAGAGCAGAACAGTTTCAGAAATTCTGTGCTACTGCAGTAAAATATTATAGCATTTTTTTTTTATTTTACTGCATTTCAAACCTTTACAAGTAAATGTTATATAATCCATGTAGATGTACTCTCAATTTCTATATTTTATGAAATGCTTATGCATTGGCAGACGTGACAAAAAACCGATATCAGCCCCCGACTCCCACACTGGAGCATCCCTACACATCAGCATACAAAAAGTTAATGCATTTGTTTACATGCATGCCAGCAAAACACTGCATATGTGTAGTGCAGAATGGACCACAACACTTACAGTGAAATATAAACCTCACCTGGTCTCATATTTGGACAGTTTCCTTTCTTCCCATGCAGTGTTTCCACCACCAAAGTTTTTATTTGCAGTTCTCTCAAAGCCCTGTGATAAAGAAGACAATAAAATGCAACCAATGGAGTGACTTAAACATACAAGTTTTAAAAAGTCTTAACGTTACTGTCACATCCCTGGACCTGGACAGGCTAAACACCTACAGTGAGAAAAAGAAAAAGCTCAAACCTTGTTGAAATTCTCAACGATGCGTGTGCAAGTTGAACATAAAGCTTTGACATCCTTCGTGCTGCCAGGTCCAACAGCAAAAACTAAAAGCAGACAAAAGAGGAGACTGACTGTTTCAGAGAGCAGCATCATTTTAGCAACCTTGCTACTAAACGCTAAGCCCTAAAAATCATGATAAAAGGTACTATAGTGAAAGTTAAAGACAAAAGCCAGATGAAAACGCCTTGTGCTATCAGTCTGTAACGTTAGTCAACAAAAGGCGCTCAGTATAAAGTTCTCTACGCTGATAAACATGCAGAGCTCCATGCCGGTTTCAGGACTCATGTACACTTCCGCCTCTGTTCTCGCATTACGATTGTGGCTTCTCCTGATTGGCCAAGCGGCCCGGTCAGTCAGGGCATCAACCAATGGCATCCCGCCACGCGCGGGGCTTCTATTCCAAACCATTCTAGCCCCAAAATGAATGAATGAATTAATTAATGCTAATTTATACGCTTAATGTCAACGTCTGATACGCTGCTATTTTACTTCATTTACATATTGAAATGTAAATATTTATTTTCCCATAACTGTTAGAAGTCGAAGTTTGAATAATGTAAAGTAGATAATGAGCATAAATGCCATGATTATTTTATCCGCATTATTTTTAATCCTCTTAGAAGTTGAAATAGAAATAGCAACAAGGAGAAAAGATACAATTATTATTATAAGCCCATGAGCAAGCCAACTACGTCTTATAATATAATATAATATAATATAATATAATATAATATAATATATTAGACAGGAATAATGGAAGGTAGTATCTAAATAACCCTGAAATAATGTCTGAAAACTGCTCACAATAGTTAAAAATACAATCCATTATGGATGAATGAATGAACACATGATATGTGTTCATTAGTAACATGGTGAGCGTGAAATACTATTTATAAACACTGTGTAGTACAAAATTACACAGCTTGTGGCCACAGGCCACAGTTCCCCTAACACATAAATGTGGGTAATTAAGAGGTCACTCCTGCAGAATGGATTTTCCCGAGAGAAGATGGCAAGGGGAAGTGCAGATTGGCTGAATTTGTCTGGGGAGAAAAAATAAGGAACTGTCGTGTGAGAAAACAAGAACAAAGTGCTTTCGTCCACTAGGAAAAAAAAATCAATGAGGAAAGAAAAAAGAGCGTGATCCATTTGAACAGTGATTTGATTCCTAAACTTCGCAACATGTCTGAGTGCATGTTTTCTCTACCCTCATACTACTATATGATCATATAGCTAGCATATTTAGCATAGCATATAACGATTCTCACAGGAAACTTTACTTTTAAGAAGTAAACTGAATGTATCTATACTACTGAAAAAGTGAAAAAGTTTGTAAAAAAATAAATTTGTAGAATAAGAACTGCTTCCTCTGCCGTCTCCTTCCGCTTTTTGAATATGCAGACAGTGACGTGAGAGTGAAAACATCAAACCTTTCCCATGCTCATATGTGCAGTGAGGGGAAACAAGACCCTTTTCTTTGTTATTTAGTATACTTCCAGTGCATATATCCACTTCAACTTTACACACATAATGTCTTTGTACTTATAAGCATAAACAGAGATATATTTAAAATACAAAACTGATAATGGGAAATAAAATAAGTATTCAGACACCACAAATTAATAACATTAATACTTTGCTTCAAAGCAAAGTACTAATGTTACTTCACTTTGGGTATGGTGTTCTTGGGATCATAGGTCCATCCCTTCTTTCTCCAAGCATTCAGGAGCTGATTTTTTTGCCACAATGGTCTATTTTTGTTCTAGCTGTTCAGTTCTTAATGAATTAAGATTTGTCTAAATTCTTATAAGCAAATTTTAGATGTGCATCTTTGTGGTCCTTTTTTAGCAGAGGAGTTTTGTCTGAGGTGTTGGAATGGAGATAATTGTTGCTTATTGTTCTCTGTGCAGCTGTTGTTCCAGCTGCTTTCAGGTCGTCTGGCCTTTTTTTTTCAAGTGACTGCTGGCTTCTCCTTCAGCTTCACCATGATTGCTACTTGTTAAGAGTCTTTTATAATGCCTCAGGTGCAATTTGTACATTGCAGCTTTATCATCTAGAATCTAAGTTATAAGTAGATATGTGCACTTTAAGTATATTAAATAACAAATAATAAAAAAACTGTCTGAATACAGTTTTTTTTTGTTTTCACTCTGATGCTGCATAATTCAGTTTTTGCATAATCCACCTTTGTCAACTTATTTAGCCATAAAAATAATATTCTGTAATTCAGAGACATGATGAAGAGTAAAAGACATCATTTCAGACTTCAGATGTAATAAAAACATGGACCAAAAGCAACATAACAACATATACAGAACAAACTTTGAATTCCTTCCTTATTGTGCTGCACATAGTTGGAACACTTACTTTGTAAAGAGCTTTCTTACTTCCCATACAGCCGGGCTCCTAGTGCGCATGCGCAGTTCTTTCCCATGATGGCGCGGAAGCGAGGCTTTCCCGAGTTCCCCCTGTTTCTCCTCTTCATGTTCGTAGCTGGTCTGCATTTGCTTGCGTGTCCTTTCACCAAAGTCGAAGAGAGCTTTAATTTACAAGCTGTTCACGATATCCTTTATCACAGACTTGACTTTGAGAAGGTAAGAGACTGCAGACTACGGTAGGTCCACTGTTCATGTGTTAAGCTGCTCTGCTGCTGTTGAGTCCTTCAGTCAGAACGATACTGCTGTGTGCTGTGGTTTGGGTCGAGTTGCATTTTGCGCAATCAAATAGAAAATACTAAGTCCACTAGGAAGCCATTTGGCATTTAGTCTTCCTCTTTCTTGCCTCTAGTCTTTCCCTCAGCAGTCCCTCTGAATTTACACTCCTGTTGTGAATAACAGCTTGGAAATACCGCCCTTTATTTCAAGTAAAATATTTGTGTAAATGTTCATGTGAGGGTTCATGTGAGACAGAAAAGTCACTCAGTGAGTTTCTCTCTTGCTCAGGTAAAGTTCTGTCAAATGAGCTAACCCGCTCATTTTTTGTCCAAAAATTTCCAGACAACTATCTAATGAGTGATTTCAGCCGCTTTAAGGTGCACCTATTGCTGACACAGGGGGTTAAAACACGTCTTGTATAATCTTCATTAGAACTGGGCTGTATGACCTCATTTATTGTGATAAGTTACATCACAGTATGCTTTTCTGAGCATATTGTGGACATCAGCTGCGCTTAAAAACTTCTTACCAACTGCATGTTTGATTACAAAGAGAGCATTTTTGCCATATCGCCCACTTCTAATCTCCATAGAAAAGCATTGCCAACAAAATGGGATGCTCTGGAGCAGCCACACATGGGAGCCTAACGTCAACCCACAGGGGTATAAAGCCCCCCACCAATGGGCTGTAGAGCAGTGGGAGCATTGTAACTGTGTTTACCAGGGTGATTGGGCTCCATCCAGTAACGCTAGGATGAGGTGGAGTGGTGCTGGTGATCCAGAACTAGTCATCCAACATCATGCAATCAGATCCTCACGACAATGTTCAATCTAGTGTAAAGCCTTCCCAGAAGAGCAGAGGCTGTTAATGCTACAAAAATGGGAACACTCCCATTATTAGTGAATACCCTTAATTTTGAAAGAAATCAGTGAGCGGTGTTTTAAAGAATTTTCACATCTGAAAGTTGTTTAACCTTTCTAACCTCAGCTCAGGACTGGATAGTGTCTACTGTTTTAACAGCTACAGTCTTGTAATGTACTTGCTCTGCCCAGTGTTGTGCTTCCCTGCTCAAACATATCAGACTTTATAATCAGCTAATCATGTTATTGAGGTTAAAGAAGACAGTAATTTGTACAGTGCAGGTAGACTTGAGGACTTTAGTTGGGAAACAGTGAACTAGACTCAGGTGAACTTTACTGTGCACACTGTAACCATAGTAAATATGGCTCTGTTTTGCATTCTTTTTTGCAGTATGATCATCATGAATTCCCTGGAGTGGTGCCCCGCACGTTTCTTGGTCCGTTGTTTATCTCTGCACTCAGCACACCCATGGCTGGTTTACTCTCATTCTTAGAGGCACCAAAGTTTTATACGCAGATTATTGGTAAGTATGCTGGTACACAAAGAACGTTTTTGTGTGTTGTAAGGCTTTCACCATCCATTACATGTAAAAACAAGTTGTCTACTGGTTATTTGGTTGATTATTTAACAATAATTGAGTATTAAACAATAATAAAAATAGATTTAACTGAACAATAACAATGTATGTATAGGTTTTTTAAAGGCTTCAGAATATTTTATTGGAAAAAGATGCATCTTCAAAAATTCTTGACAAAAAAATACAACCTATGCAATTATTCAAATATGCATTACATCATGCATATTATAATAAATACATTTTTTATTTATTGTTATTTTCAGTTGAGTTCAATCATGTATTGAGTGACAGCCTTACTGTATTGTTCAAGGAAAACCTTTCATAAACATTGATGACGACAGCAGTATTTTGTGTTCTGCAGTGCGAGGAGTTTTAGGGCTGTGTGTCTGCCTGGCTCTGTGGATCATGCAAAAAGAAGTGAGGAGACAGTTTGGATCACTGGTCGCAAGTCTGTTTTGCCTCATCAGTGCTTCACAGTTCCATCTTTTGTTTTACAGCACAAGGACACTCCCTAATGTTTTCGCTCTTCCTGTAGGTACGCATGATCTGGAAATGTAACTGCTTCTATTGGCAAGAAAATGGTTTATGGGAATTAAAACATGTTTATTTAGTGTCTGAAAGATTCTTTAGTTTTGCACTGGAGCTATGAGGCATCCAAGAAACTCCAAGATTCGTCCACCAGACTTCCAGACAGTGAAGCGTGAAAACATGTTACCACTGCTCCAGAGTCCGGTGATGGTGCGCTTTACACCAATCCAGCAGACGCTTGGCATTGTACATAGTGATCTTAGGCTGGTGTGCAGCTGTACGGTCATGGCAACACATTTCATGAAGCTTCTGATGCACACTTCTTGTGTTGATGTTGCTTCCAGAAGCAGTTTGGTGTTCTGTAGTAAGTAACGCAGCAGGCGATTTTTACACGCTACACACTTCAGCGTTTGCCGACCTCGTTCTGGATGGTCTGCCGCTTCGTGGCTGATCTCTTCTTGCTTATTGATGCTTGTATTTCACAATAATTGTACTTACAGTTGGCAGGGGCAGATCTAGCCAGGCAGAAATTTCATGAACTGACTTGCGGCAAGGGTGGCATACTTTGACATTGCCTTGTTTTAAAGTCACTGAGCTGTTCATTGCGATCCATTCTGCTGCAAATGTCTGTCTAAGGAGATTGCATGGCTATGTACTTGCTTTTATACACCTTTTTAGCAAAGGTTTGGCAGAAACACCTGAACTCAATATTAGGAGGGGTCGCCAACATACGCCATATCCTCACAGTGTAGCCTCATAGCTCAAGTGCAACCATATTTGGAGGAAGGGGAAAGATTTTTTTGGTGCAAAACTATAGCATTGACAGATGTCAGTCATCATACTTATTTCTTATCATACTTATTTCTTACACAAACTTAATTTCTCAGTTTTGCTGGCATTCACATCCTGGATGGCACAAAGGCAGGGCCGCTTCATCTGTTTCTCTGCTTTTGTCATCATCGTGTTCCGCTCTGAGCTTTGCCTTCTGCTTGGACTCATGTTGCTGATGTCACTTCTGTCCAGGAGGCTCAGTATTCCACAGCTGTTTTATTATGCTGTGCCTGCGGGGATTTTGTCACTGGGTAAGTATTGTTTTGAAATTGTTAGCTGTGTACTGAGAGATGTGTTTAGGTAGATTATCCTTGAACTTAAATTTCTCTTTGTCTTTGCAGGCCTCACTGTCTGTGTTGACTCTGTGTTCTGGAAGAAACTGCTGTGGCCTGAAGGCCAGGTGCTTTGGTACAACACCATCTTGAACAAGAGCTCCAACTGGGGAATATCCTTTTGACCATAGTAAAGAGTTTAGCAGTGCATAGAAATGCACTGAAAGAGTCGCTCAAATGTTGTTTTTTGTAATGATTTCTGATGCACACCAAAAAGTGAATGCAAACATAGAAAATAGACAGCTAAGAGTGTGTTTTAGTTATTTTTTTTTTTGGGTCTTCCTCTGGCTTTGATGACCGTCTCTCACAACTTTGTCTCACGTTTATCATATTTTTTATTATTTTAAAGATTCAGACATCTGGTGATTGTCTTAGCCATATCATTGCCTGATTTTTCTCCTCCTTTAAGGATGAGAGGTATGGCATATTGCATTGTCTTGTTGGAATATCCTGTGGCTTTTTGTGGTTGTCCCTTTGTACACATCAAAAACAGTTGCGAAACATCGGTGTGTAGGATATGTGCATCTAAGTAATTTTTGATTGTCAGTGTATTTCAGGCATCTCGAACAACTCTGCGGCAGCCCTTGTTAATTGTTTAGTCTTTTCTTGACTTCCTCCCCTCAGTAAACCTCCCCCTTCCTCTGGTACTTCTACTCTGCTGTCCCTCGTGCCCTTGGCACTACTATCTTCTTTGTCCCATTTGGCATAATGGACAGGAGAATGCGAACACTGCTGTTGCCCACAATTGGATTCATCCTGTTGTACTCCCTTCTACCACACAAGGAACTCCGCTTTATTATCTACACATTCCCTGTCTTCAATATAGTGGCAGCTCGAGGCTGTTCCTTCATGTACGTTGAATAGAGTATGTCTCTGAAGTTTGACTAGTTGTTTTGCGCTGGAAGGCTGTGTAGAAAGTGGTTTCATTGTTTGGGGTGTAAATCTCTGATCTCACAATGATTTGATTTTGTTATGATTTACAAAATGACTTAGTGCATCAGAAAATCATCAGTTTAAGTCCATACAGTTATCTTTGTGTAAAATTATTATAAATATATTATGTGTATTTTTTTAATAAAAAGTACTACAAATGTGAATAAGTGAATATTATTGTTAGGGATGCAAAGATATGGGGATTGCCATCCGATTCCGAGAACTGTTTTTTACACACTGTTGATACCGATACACAAATATTTGAATATTATGAATAAAATGTAGAAATTGGGGACTAAATCTAACTGGATTAGCATTGCAAATAAATAGAGCATGTATTTGTATAGAGTTACAAATGCAGTATGTTGAATAAAATACAGACATTTAGGTGTAGTAGTCCAGTGTAGCCTAAACATTCTATTCTGCCAGAGTGGCAGAAATACGTCACCAGAAATAAGATCAGTCTGAAATATCGGTCAAGTCTAAACATCTGCATGATTTTTGTAAGCAATTATCTGCCGATACCGCCAATATCACTGTGCGTCCCTAATTACTTTGATCAGCTCTGACATTACAGAATGGATACTGTTCGGTCGCCACCTTCTCACTGACGCATCATGATGCAGTGAAACTTTTTTACGCCCCTACTGTATAACTATGTTCTGCAGTCTTCGTCCTGGAGTGCCTCTGCTCTGTACATTCCCGTGCTTTCATCTGCAGCTCATGAAGAGCTTCTTATTTGTCTGATTTTAGTCAGTTGTGTTGGAGCAGAAAAAAAAAGCCCTAATATGTAGTGCACAGGTACTCAAGGACCAGGTTTGGGAAATCCCACTTTGTGCAAATGTTTGTTATCAGGAAAACTGATCTTACTTTTTTTTGCTTTCTGTTTCAGTTTAAACAATTACCAGAAGTCATGGATGTATAAAATTGGATCTCTTTTTGTAATGGGACATTTGGTGGCAAATGGCGTGTACTCAAGCATTTCATTATATGTATCTCATCACAACTACCCAGGTGGCAAAGCCATGCAAGAACTACACGTATTAGTGCCAGCCACTTCAGGTATGTTAATTTCAGTAGCAACTGAGGGGGCTGAGACGTTACACTGTAAAATGAGATCAGTCAAGTCTGATATAAGGTGTCTATATGGTTTGTCCTAGATGTGTCCCTACACATAGATGTACTTGCTGCACAGACAGGAGTGTCACGCTTCTTGGAACTCAATAGTAAATGGAGGTAGGTATCAAACATATTAATCCAATAAAGTCCATATCAGAAATTTTGAATTTCACCACTGATTCTTTTTTGTATATTCCAGTATTCCATGTTGTGATACATACTGTGTTTTGTGATAGTTTCTTCAAGTATTGTGATATTGATTTATTTTTGCTATACTGATTTTTACTTAATTTTTAACTGAACAATCTGTGAATGAAAGTATGAAAATAATGTGAAAAAATTCAGATGTTAAGCATTTAACAAGCTTTTTTCTGTGATTTTTTTTTTAGATATGACAAAAGAGAAGATCTGGCACCTGGGGATCCACTCCTGAAGACATATTCACATATACTTATGGAGGCAAACTCAACTCAGATATCACTACTTAGTGACTCTTATAAACCTCTTATCTTCATACAGGGGTACGAGCGCATGGAAATAAACGTATCCCACATTCCACCACTCAGCATTAAGCTAAACAATAAACTGGTTGTACTAGAGAGATTGCCACATTCACAATATAGATGATGGAGTGCTAACAGACTGCCAGTCTTGTTCCTATCAAATATGTTGTAAAATACAATCAAGTGACCAATAAATTTTTTTAATAATGGCCAGAGCTTGTCTTGTTACTTTGTTTTTGTTCTTAGCAGTGATGTTTTCTCATCAATGCAAAAGAAACACGCACTGAGCTAAATCAACACTGTGATTATCTAGAGTCTGTGGTGCCACGCTGCACATATTCCTGACTCTCAAGAAAAACTGGTTTGTGGCCCACGTCTGCTTGCCTTCCAAGAGGCACCTGGGGTTGTGTAACGGCTTGGTCATCTGCTCACCACTTCCTTTTACAAAGAGTAAAGAACATACTATTACTGTAGCACGTTTCCTGCGAAAGTATGTACGTAAGAACGATATTCCCTTAATATTGTGTAAAGCTTTCACTTCTACTCATTTTGTTGATCACGATGGCAAAATGGCATATGTTCCAGTTCACTGTATATGGAATAATATCCCACAACACTGAGTTCAGCCGTGTAGACATGTAAAAATCCAATGTTGTGAACAAAGCTTTGAAGTGAAATTTAAGAGCAGGACAAATATTTGAAAAGGTAAACCTTTTATTAACAAATTGACCACGAAAATCGCATGGTTCCAGTCTAGATGCTAACTCTTTAGCAAATTGTTGGAAATCATTATTTGTAAAAATGTACATTAACTGACATTAAATTGACATTAACCCATAATTTAATACCCCAGAAAAAGACATTTGTGCTTGCAAAATCAATTTTCAAACAGATTGCTCACCCTGAAATTACAGCATTATATTACATAATGTTAAGAAATTTTAACAAGTTTAAAACAGCTAATTCTAATGGACAGTACCGTAAGCCACAATATCACAATGAAAAGATTAAATTACAAACATTTAAACATCTTTCAGTCACAGCATTTCTTTTTGGGCCATGTGTTCATATTTAATAATAACAACAACAACAATTAGTATTCAGCATCCCATTCTATTTTACATATTCATTGAGTCAGTACACTATGATGTGGTTTGCACATCAGATAATATTTACAGCATTTTGACCTGAAGTAGTTCATATAAGGCACAAGAAGAGAGAAGACAAAAATCTGGCCATAAAAAAAAGAGAACAGCAACACACAAAAATCCCTACAGCTAAGTATCCCTCCCTCCCTCCCTCCCTCCCTCCCTGAAAACACTTATCACCGGGTATCACACCAACTCCAGTTACTAAGTGTTGAACAGTAGTACACATACAAAGCATTTATTTAAATTAACATGATCTATATGCTCTGTATGCCAAATCTAAACCTCAGTGTAAAATATTTTAAAGGGCCATCTCAGAAGCGATTTGGTCCTTGGTCAGGGTTTATCAGGGTCTAAGAAATAAGCTTGCACACATAAAAAAGGTCTCAGTACTGAAAATATATCAAAGGAAGGTTGACCTTTAAAAATAAGAGTCCTTCAAGATTTTCTATCAATGGTCTGGATTGATTCAGGGCACAGTTCACACCTGACGTGCTGAACAGAGTCTCTGCTGGTACAATGCTGGGTGGACAACCCACATAACGTACAGCTACTTTGGCAAGTTCAGGCCACAAGAACTTCTTGAGATTCCAATAATCCAGAGGATCACAGCTCTGGTCAAGGATGTCTTCCTCCAAGTACTCCAGAACAGCAAGCTCTGACGACTTTGGTCTGTCTTCTTGCTTAATCTTTTGCCTAATGTCATCCATCAGGGCCCAGAGGTTGTCCTTATTTGCGGCTGAACTGTTAGATGAAGCTGGGACCTCACCGCATCCGTTGGACAATGGAGGTTTAGTCTCTGCAGAGGTAGCTACGGATACCTTATCGAGTTCTTGTATTAGGTCTTGCTTGCACCGCTCCGCTTCCTCCTCGGTGAACAGGGAGGTCTTGTACCGGGGGTCCAGCATGGTTGCCCATGTATAACGTGGGTCATGAAGTGTGGGAGACATTCTGGTCACCATGGCCTCTTTCAGAGACTTAAGCATGTTGTCAATACCCATAGTCTCATCAAAAAGCATGTCTATCTTGCGGTTAAGGATATGAATGAGTGGTATGACTTGTCCAAGAGTAGCAGTGCGATTACTCATCTCCCTGCAGGCCACCTCAAAGGGCTTCAGAGCGTTGCAAACTGACTGCATCACCTCCCACTGGTCACAGCTTATAAGTTCCCTGAAATTGCACTCTAAAGACAGTTCGTCAATGGCTTTCTTTTGCTCAACTAATCTGTCAAGCATGAAATATGAGGTCTTCCACTTGGAGGGAACATCCTGGACCAACTGATTTTCAGGCAAGTTATAAGCTTTTTGCAGTTCTGCCAGCTTCTCCTTTGCCTTCGGCGAACGATGTACTCGCTCACAGATCTTTCGTGCAATGCTCAACAAGTTCTGGACCATCCTCTGACTTTTTATGGCTTCATTAACAATGAGGTCTATGTTGTGACCAAAACAATGCATGATGGTGTGAGCACTGTCCTCCAGCACGTTTCCTATGGCTTGATTATCAGTTACAATGAATCCAATCTGCAGGCCTGAGGAAGCAATCCAGGTGTCCCAAAGATACTCAAGCTGCTTCTGTATGCTCAACATATTGTAATCACAGTCTATTGGGGACACACCAAGCAGAGCTGAGCAGTGGAAATCTTGGCCCTGAGGTCGGACACATGACTCAAACGTTACCCAGTGGGCTGTAAGAGTCAGGTATTCCCGAGTTTGACTGTTTACCCATACGCTTGTTGTGAAATGGATAATTCCGCTCTCAGCCTCCTTGAGGTGTGTCAGGACAACCTCTTTCACGCTTTCGTACATTTCTGGTATGGCAGTGCTGGTGAAGTAAGATGAAGAGGGTACAGAATACTGTGGTTGGAGATATTCCAGTAATCGGTTTAAGCCAACGTTCTCCACCACAGCCGATGGCTGAAGATCCAGTGCAAGCATTTCTGCAATGAGTTTGGTGATTTTTTTGGCAACTGGGTGGCAATCATCAAATTTCTCATTATTTTCCTCATATGCAGAAGTGTCCATAAGCTCCTGCTTTACTGTGATTTCAGCTGATGACACATCACCTGAGATACTACTATTATTTTCAAGCACATGTCCATGAAACCTTTGCATGTGTCGAAATAAGCAACTAGTGCCTAGATTTGTTGGTTTTTTGCCCCTGCTTATTGTGCGGCTACAGTGCAAACAGACCACCTTTGTTGGGTCTCCAGAAGAAATAGAAAAGTGATTCCACAGTTTTGAAGTCTTCTTGCTAAAAATGGGTAGAGTGCGTTGTTTCTTCATACTAGCAGGGCTGTCAGCTGCACTTGCTGACATTTCCTCCTCTGCAGTGAGGGTAGTATGGAGTGACTGAGGTGAATACACTTGGACGCTTGTGCTTTTTTGGTTCTTTAGAACATCAGGATGTCGCCTCATCAGATGCCGCATCAAACAGCTTGTGCCGAAGTCACCACGTTTGCCACGACTAATGACACAAGGACAGTATCGACACAAAGCCTTGAGTTGGTCAACTGGGGAGACAATGAAGTGGTGCCACACCTCTGATTTTACCCTTTTCATTATTTTTTTGTTTTGCTGGAAAACCGAGCTTTGCTCTTGACCTAGACTCGGGCCTTCAGCAGAGTCATCTGGAGACGATGATGATGGAGGTATATTGTCATTTTTTAGGTCAAAGGACATGTTGAGTGAAGATTCATGTTCAGAATGATACGTGGCATCATTTACCTCCTCCTTTACAACCATATTTTCACTGTCATCATTGGGCACTTCATGTGATATGTTTTCAGGTGAGGTACAGCTGGGCTCTTTTTTGATCTCCACAGGGTCCTGCATCTGTGACAGTAGTGTTGGCGGTGTGGTATAAGGTGGTGGAATGGAGGAGCCCTGTCCATTTTCTTCAATGACGATGTCTCTGTGGGCCCGCCACATGTGGCGGATTAGACAGCTTGTTCCCAAGTCTTTCCCATTTTTACCCCGACTGAACTCATTCATGCAGTGAATACACACAGCTTTTGAGCTATCCGCAGGAGACAAATAGAAGTGTTTCCACACAGCTGATCGCCTTCGAGAACTTGAGTTTTTATGGGTTGAGCCTGAGCAGTCAGACCCGATGTCCATGGCATCGTCATTGTGGTTGTTGACGGAATGTGGGGAAGGTTCCATGCCAGAGTCAGTCTTGGCATTCTTTTCCGCTTTTGGCTTGACCTTTTGCAATGCCTCTTTGGATGCTACATCTGTGGCTTCTGCTAAAGAGATGGACGGTGAGGTGTGATTGTTTAAGTGGGGCTTAATGCTAGCTGCCAGGTCTCCATTATTTGGTGATTTAATGGGAGGTATTAAAGATGAGGCAGAATTGGATGAAGTATTTGAAGAGTCACTGTCTTGTAAAAGTACAGTGGGGTGAGCCCTTCGCACATGCCTCATCAAACAACTAGTGCTGAGGTCTTTTTCATTTTTACCCCGACTAAACTCTTTCATACAGTACATACAGATTGCTTTGGTACTATCACGAGGAGATATGAAAAAATGGTTCCAAGCAGGAGACTTCTTTCTAGGATTAAGAGGATTTCTAATAGACGTGAGAAGGCTTTGTGTGACAGCATCCATTGCAACATCGTAAAAAGTACTCGAGTAGCCACTCAGTATATTACCGTAGTCATCATCATTGCTTTTAGTGACGAAGGGACCAACAGCACCATCAAAGTACAGCTTTTCATCCTCCTGAGCACCTTCACCTGTTTCATTTGGTTCATCTTTGATATGCACATTTAGTTCATCTGCTGAATTGTCCTTGTCTGTTTCAGTGCTCTGGTCTTTAATTGAAATGGTTGGAGAAGTTGGCGAGCCCTGCTTATTGCAGCTCTCTGCTTCCAAACTATCTCCTGAATGTCCATCAACCTGAGAAGATGCATTATCCATTGTCCCCTTGAGGCACGAGGACGCAGAAGAAGAGTCTTTAGCCAGTGTGTCTGTAGGAGAATGAGCGGATGTTGCATCTGTTATCTCGCGAGGAGTAATGCGGTATGATTTAAATACATAACCATCTTGACCCTCAATTTTTAAACAGGTTCCTTTGGCCTCTTTTCTCTTGTCACTCTCCAAAGAACCATTATGTTCCAGGTGCACATCATCAGTCTTTTGAGAGAGGCCTTCCTCTCCATCCATTTTAGCAGACTGAATTTCTGCTAGGAAAAAAAAAAACCTTTTTTTAATGAAAGCAGCTTGTTAAGTGTTCAAGTGTCATCAGCGTGGCTGTCTCTATCATCCGTCCAAATATTTACAGCGGTGTGTTATTTTCAAATCCAGGTGAGGAAGACACATCAGACTTGTCCATTTAGGAAAGTGTAAGAAAGTTGCCCATTTTGTGCAATCTGAAAAAGAGAGAGGAAAGAGAATAAAGAAAAGTGCTTACACTAAAGAGGCAGTTATTCAGTATTAAGTACAAATTAAGCTAGAGGGAGCACAGATCCAGTACCAGCTATTGGTATCAGGCCAATATCAACAGAAGAGGCTGTAACAAATCTATCCTGAAATAGTATGTTGTGTGATGTAATGTTGTTAGCTGTGTATTTCTGTGGGGTACTAGAGTGTTTAAGTACTTTAAGTACTAAACTAAGCATGATAGCTTAATTTAGGTGCACATCTTAAGTGCTTCAGCTTATTTTAAAGCGTAGTAGTTTTTAATAAAGTATCAGGTCAGTGTCGGTATTCAATAATACTCAATGTTTCAATATCATTTTTGAAGAAAAAAAATCATGCCACCTCTAAGTTAAGCTGTTCAATGAAAGACAAGGCTAATACTGTTAATGTTTATTAAAAAGGGTAAAACAAACATAAATTATACACAGATATAAACAAATCATGATAAATCATGATCTGTCTCAAGCAAAATCAGACAAGTTTAAAAGGCTCTGGTGTGTCCTAACTTCTGGTGACTATAAGGCACTGTCTCTCTTTTTTTTTATATATGTATTCTTATTCAGAAGTTTGGGATCACTTCAATAAAACTAAAAAACAAAAATAAATGAATGAAATTATGGTACTAAGATGGTATTAATTATGGTATTAAGGGTGGCAGTAGAACAGAAGGAGCTCGATAGAACCAGAAGCAGCGAAGGCAGAATTGGATCTGCACCCCCCCCCCCTTCCTCCTCAACACACACCGCACAGACGGATCATTTTTTGTATTTCTTTTTATATATGCATTCTTATTCAGAAGTTTGGGATCACTGTTCAATAAAACTAAAAAACTTGAAGATAAATGAATGAAATTATGGTATTAAGATGCTACTACTGTACAATGTTACAGATTTCAAGTAATTAGTTGGACTGAAGTTACACTGAAAACTGAAATTAACATCCAGAATTCATTGTATTTTATACATGATCAAATCACAGGAAGGGTTACTTAAAGAAAATGACTACAAATAATTACAATACATTAGTATTTGATAACATTTTGGTGTTCCTAAAGAGTCCATTTTTAAAAATACAGACCTACATGATGCATAATGACAAAGGTGAATCATTTCTGCCAAGCGTGTTTAATGGGTTGTGCTTGACAGATCTGCTCCGTCGGTCACCTAACCCGGAACAGTAGCAGCGATAGCCTAGATTACACTCACGCTGCTATCGTTTTTCCTCCTACTTGGTTTTCAACTCACAAACAAAAACAGCAAAATCGTAGAAATGCAACATTGAAAGGCGTGGAAATTAGTAAAGGTTAATTAAATGACAAGAACACATTATTTGGGTCATAATTATATCCAACAAAATGAATTGACGCTAGCTAGCTGCTGTAGCTGTGTATGTGTTTATGTAGATAAGACATCTAACTAACATTAGCTCCAGTTTGAGTCCTCAGTGCTGAATACGTTTCTTCTTACATAGGTTTATTTTCAAGGCTGTCCAGCGTCCACCTAGCAAGGTTAGCTAGCTAACTTTTCCGGAACCGTCAGTGCACCCTGGCCACAGTTCGTCTAAAATAGCTGCTGTTTTCCACCAAAAAAAGAAAAGAGAAAGAGAAAAAACGACAACGAGGCTTCCTTATTACAACCAACACAGGCTGAACATGGAAATTCGTTAAGTTAACGTTAGTTCCCTAACATGTACTTATCTGAATAATCAGCTAATAACATCGCAGTGTGTGGTGTTTTTATTGATAGGCTATCTAATAAACAATTCCCCAAGACACAGCACGTTGCAGAGCAGGTTCTTGATAAAAACAAGTTTTTTTTCTGCAGACTACCAAACCCGGTTTAATCTTGTAGTAGAGGTAAGGTTCTAGGTTACTTGCGGGTGAATTATTAGCAACGTTAGCCATTTAGCTATCTGTATATCTAACGTTTCTTAAGCGCGGACAAAAACAACAGGAACAGCGAGGAGAGGTGCCGTACTGTCACATGGATTCAGAGGACTGACAACTTCAAGCAAAAGCACACTTCGTGTCATTTTCAAGCCCTCAAATGAGGTTTAGGGCGATTAGAGTTAGTAAGTAGGTCTCCCTTTTCACGTAGCTAGGCCCCAGATCTCGGAGACACAGACCTGGCGAGGCAGAACCCAGCAGGTCCTCGGTGGCAGTAGAACAGAAGGAGCTCGATAGAACCAGCAGCAGCGAAGGGAGAACTGGATCTGGCCCCCCTCCTCCTCCTCAACACACCGCACAGACGGCGATTTAAAGTAGCTTAGCCGGAGAAATAAAAGGTCACGTACCTTCAGCTTCGAGTGTCCAGTTCAGACTGCTGTTATACAGTTAAATAAACAGGTAAGATTGATCCTGGGGGGTAAGGGGGGCAGTTAGCTTCGTTGCTTTGTCTCCAGTGCGGTTAAACACTCAGCAGTTGTAGCTCCACTCAGCGTCGGACGGAAGGAACATGCTTTTATGACGTCACTGGGGGGTATTAGGGCAACACCAACATGGCGGGTGAGGGGGTAATAAAAATAAAACACATCCAGAGACGGCCGGCCGGGTTACATTACCACACCGCCGCTGCTGTTGCTGCTGGGGGTCTGTACGGCGACACTGGATGAATCAACAGCCGCTCTTAGAGAACTGAGTAATGTCCGGCTAACTACTACTACTACTACTACTACTACTACAGGGACTTTTGGCTGGAAATGTGTCTAAAGCACCCTTATCGTGTTGGTAAACCAAACATACGGGGTTTCTTGACCTGAGGGTCTCTCTCAGGGGCGCTAAGGCGCCATCAGGGGTGGGGCAAACAGGGGGCTTTTTTGCAATTTAAATGGAACCTTTTTAGCCTCATCATTTGCATATACTGCATACTAGAAGCACCTTCTCCGAAATACGATGTACTTACATCGTTATTATTCATGTAGATGTGTGCATATATATATATATATATATATATATATATATATGTGTGTGTGTGTGTGTGTGTGTGTGTGTGTGTATAAATAAATTACAGTGTATAGATTGGCTACTTATTATTATCTATTTAGAGTACCAAATATAACGAGGGTGTAAATTGGAGGAACATAAGAACATAACCTATTATGTAATAAAATTACATTTCTACTCATTGTTAATAACAATAATAAAAATAATAATAATAATTATTATTATTATTATCATTATTAATTGAAATTTAGTTTTTTTCTTTTATTCTATTGATAAAGGTTCACCCAACCGTTTGTTTTGTAGCCATACAAAACAATCTATAAATGTCCACACGGCTACAACCTAAACGGCTGTGTGAACGTCAGCCGCTCTGAATGTGAAACGCCATCACGTCGTGCGTGGCGGGTGGGCCGTTGTGTAGTAGCCGCCCGCCCGCATTGTTGTTGGGGGGGAAGGCGAAGCCTTGCAGCAGCTGCTCATCGTTTACGGGGGGAAAGAGGACACCATTCTTGCCTTTGAATGGCTTTTAAACCTAGTTTTCCCCCGCGGAACACGCTCCGGGAACCGTAGTCTCGGCGCTCAGGGCATATCCGTGCTCTCCTCACCCAGATTCAGCGGTGGAGAGCTCAGACTGCGCCCTGTGGATGAGAACATTGTGTACGGAATCACAGCCGCCGCCGAGCAGGCCGTATCGCCATTGCTTTCAGGAGCTGCTGCCGCCGCTGCTGCCGCCTCTCTTTTCAACCAGAAGCAACGGGGCTCTAAGGTAATGCGCTCTGAAAACAACAACTGCAATTCAAGCCAGAAGGGTTTGTTATAATCTGCGAGGTAGTCCGCGTTCGAGAGGTCTGCATGTGATTAAGAAACATCTCTAAAGGGCTCCACCAATCTGTGTTGCCTTGCCTGTGTCTGTGTTTTGCTGGACGCCATTTGCTCCCTTTTGCTGTTAGTTTATTATCGTGAGGTGCCCTCAGTCGCAGCACAGAGCCGCTGCTTGCTTGCCACGTTTGTTCTCCGTTCTCTGTTGTTGCTCAGCCGTGATCGATACAAAGGAAACGCGCTGCAGTCTGATGTGAGCAGCCTCAGCTTAGTGAGCTAAATATGGTTTAAGGTTTGGGGTTTGGAGCGTTTCCCCGCCCCCCACCACAACACCCACTTTGTGGCAGCGTCAGAAACTGTCATAGCGCTCACCTAAAAACGCTGCGCGTCTTGAGCTCGATTGCTCATTTCACCTTGTAGTGAAGCAAGTTCCTGTTTCGGCGTGTGTATCCATGCCGCGTTTATGTCAAGGTTAATGCTAAAGATTGAGACAGTTATTCGTTCGCGTGTGTTCTCTGCAGCTTCAGAGTGGGTGGTTAAATTGGAAAACATCACTAACTAATGTGAGAAGAGTATATTCCTCCTGAGTTGGCATAATTCATAATTGCAATAGATTAGGTTTGATCTATAGCCTTTGGAGCTATACATACTTGGCTGTATTAAAAGTATGCGAAGTGGTCTTAACTGCTAAGGAATGTAGTTTTTAATCTGGGGTTATCACAACAGTGAAGTACTTGCAAGCTTTTGATAAACTCTTGTCAGGAGAAACCAGTGCTTATCAAGCAGTGGTCCTTACTCCTCCACTTCCGCCAAGACTGACGGCAGGAAAACATTTCCCTTATAGATTTCTTAATTCTGTCCCAGCTCTGAGGAAGAGACACCTAAGGCTGGCTTTACTAAGACGTATTGATTTTAGATGATGTGCTTACCTCAAAAGACCACTGGCACCTTGAAAATTGACATGCGAATCAGTCACAGATTAGAGCATGTTCCGCATAGATATGAGGAAATGTGTGGTTGTGTGAAACGTGTGAAAGCTACATTGTAAGCATGAGATTTTGTGGGAATATTAAGACTGGTCTGTGATTAAGACTGATAAAATATTGATACTAATCTTTTATAAACTCTGATAGTACTTCAATACTGATCTGTTATTCATTCTGAGAGAATCTTAACACCCGTCTGTTTTCCTCTTCAGCTTTTTAAGGTTCCACAATGAGGAAAAGAGCACGGCAACCCAGGCCCTCTGCACCGCAGCGGTCGCCCTCGCCCATCAAACCCTCGCCAAACCGGGAGACCCTTACCTATGCACAGGCGCAGCGCATGGTGGATCTGGAGGTGGACGGCCGCATGCACCGGATCAGCATCTTCGACAAGCTGGAGGTCATCACCGACGATGACCCCACAGCCCAGGAGATGATGGAGTGCACCAGCAATAAGGAGAACACGGAGAAGCCCCAGCAGGCCCCATTGCGCTCTGCGCGGCTCAAAAACAGCCAGCAGAAAAAGAAAGCCGCTCTGAACGCACAAAAGCCTCAGGCACCCATAAGCACCCTGCCTGAGCCCAAATTTCGCACTGTGGATTACAACCTTCCAGCTGTACCTCGGAGACCTTCACAATACTACAAGTATGAGGAGAAGACTTTGGAGGAGCTGGACGAGGAGGTGGAGTATGACATGGACGAGGAGGACTACGCCTGGCTGGACCTCGTTAATGAGAAGAGAAGAAGCGAAGGGTTCAGCCAGGTTTCTCCTAACGTCTTCGAGTTCCTCGTGGATCGATTTGAGAAGGAATCGTTCATGGAGAGCCAGGGCCAGCAGGTCCAGCAGTCACTGGTGGACGAGGATGCTGTGTGCTGCATCTGCATGGATGGAGAGTGCCAGGACAGCAATGCCATCCTTTTCTGTGATATGTGCAACCTAGCTGTTCATCAGGAGTGCTATGGAGTGCCGTACATTCCTGAGGGCCAGTGGCTGTGCCGTCATTGCCTACAATCTCCCACCCAGCCTGCTGACTGCATCCTCTGCCCCAACAAGGGCGGTGCCGTCAAGAAGACGGACGATGACCGCTGGGGTCATGTGGTCTGCGCCTTATGGGTGCCCGAAGTGGGTTTCTCCAACACGGTTTTCATCGAGCCCATTGATGGCGTGGCAAATATCCCCCCTGCCCGCTGGAAGCTCACCTGCTACCTCTGCAAGGAGAAAGGCGTCGGCGCCTGCATCCAATGCCACAAAGCTAACTGTTACACCGCCTTCCACGTCAGCTGCGCACAAAAGGTTGGTCTCTTCATGAAGATGGAGCCCATCAAAGAAGTGACAGAGTCAGGTACCTCTACCTTCTCGGTGAAGAAGACGGCCTACTGTGGGGCTCACACCCCCAACGGCTCCGTCAGGAGGCCCCTCACCATATACGACGAGACCAAAAACCAAACCAAAAATGGACTCTGTCAGACGGCGGGGAAAAACCACAGCCGAACAAGACTGAAAAAGAAACAGAAGAAATCAAAGAGCAAGAAGGCCGCAGAGCCTGTAGCAGCAGTGCCAGCAATGTCTGTGCCTAGTTTTCCAACCAATAGGTAAGCTGGAGGTCCTGAAAATGGGCATCACTACAGCATTCTGTGGGTCTGCAGCTGCTACAGAGGGATCTAAAGGGAATTCCACAGATTTTTTTTACACAGCAAAATTATAAAGATGTAAACAAAGTCATTTAAAGGGGTTTGATTTGACATGTGGCATTCTGGAGTATCAGAATTTACAATGGTGGGGATAAAAATACTTTTATAATGCAGATTTACATGCACAGTGTTGTAAGGGAAAATACTACCCAAGGAAAAAATTGCCCTCTTTTTCCAAAATGTAGTCGAACAGCTAAGACATGTTTAGGTTCTAAAGTTTTTAGTTCTTGACTTTTGCGCTGGAACTTTGCCTTATTAGCACCCGTGCAAAAGAAGCAAACGTTGGGAACCAAACATTTCTGGCTTGATTAACTACATTTTGAATCAGGGAAACTGTATAAAGCAGATTGTTGGCCGAAATGTTGTTTTAAAGTGAAAGAGTGGCTTTGTGTTACAGATTTATTTTTTTTTTTCCCTTTGAAAGTCTTTACACGAAGGATAGTGATAAGCGTCAGTATCAAGCTGTTGAATATAGATCATTAATGTCTTTTTTTCAAATCGCTTCATGTCTCCCACAGGTTAAACACCATCCTTAATCAAGTTTCTCTCCAGAGGAAGAAGGTATTCGTCGAGCTGGTCTTGAACTACTGGACCCTGAAGAGACAATCACGGAACGGACTGCCGCTGATCAGGCGGCTCCATTCTAGCCTGCAGTCCCAGAAAACCGCACAGCCTGTAAGTCCAGTGGCATCATTCGCCTCACTGAATGTGTGGTAGATTGGAATGTTGAATAATGTTATGTAATGTTGATGTGATTAATTTATTCAGAAGCACAGTGAGGAGGAGAGCCGGGCGCTGAAGGAGCAGCTGAAGGAGTGGCATCGTTTGAGGCATGACCTTGAGAGAGCCCGGCTGCTACTGGAGCTGATCAGAAAGAGAGAGAAACTCAAAAGAGAGGAGGTGATGGCATCGTTCACTCTTTCAGCCTTACTACTTTTGCTGAATATTTTGCGCATGGTCATGCTTTAAGTGAGCTAATGATGCATTTCGAGTTCAGTGTGCTGGAGTACAAGTATTGGTTCATGTCTGATAGGGGAGTAAAGATTCATTAGTTTTCTTGATGGATCCTTTATAATCCTTCCCAATTGAATTGGAAAGAAATAATACTGAATCATATGCATCGGTCCGAAATCGATTTTAAAATGCTCTGAATCGAACAAATCATGATTTACTAACAAAATAAGCTTATTTAATCAAATACATGTGACATTTAAACATACATGTAGTCCTCAAACCTGCCTTCTTTAAAGCGCGAGTGTGTCAAGCACCATTCACAAGTGAACCACATACGAAAATCACGGAGGAAACGTAATGCGAGAGATTTACAAACCAGTTCTCACCCACTGCTGATCATAAATCTGCAGCTCTCTCTTAGTTTTAATTTAATTTCATCAGACAGAGACAAGCCAATGCTTAACATATGAATGCTGCTGTTAGCTAATAATTGCATAATGCTTTTACAGGAGGTAGTGAAGTAGTCCATTTTTTTTGGCCCAGGAGTGTACAAGTTGAACATATGCTGTGTACAGTAGCTGCCTTCATTTTGAGCGAATAAACCAGCTTTTTATCTGATGCCTGGTTGCAGTGACATGAATGCAAAATTGTATCTGTTGAGTTTTCTTGCGGCATGTGCTTATCATTTACATTATTTCTTTACTGTGTGTGTTAGAAGGATATTAACCTCATTTTTTCTTAATATTCCTGCAGATGAAACTTCAGCAGTCAATTCTAGAAATGCAGCTCACTCCATTCACCATTCTCCTAAGGTCTGTTTTGGATCAGCTACAGGAAAAAGACCAGGCTAAGATCTTTGCACAGCCTGTTAGCATCAAGGAGGTACGTGTGAAGATCTACATAAGTTTTGGAATTTCTGTCCATCAAGTTCTGCTGCTTGCTTTTCAAAACGATTTTTGCAATAGCTTGACATACTTTAATATTAACCATATTTATTTAAAGGAAAGCTGTATTACATGTTTTTCACAATAAGTGTTTGTGACAGTATTTTTGGAGGCATCAGCATTCAAACTTTTCTGGTGTTAAAACCACAGAGAGTCTCAGTATGTGCTCTTAACAAGAGTTTAGAAGAATAAAAAGTCAAACCATTATTTAGGCAAAACCTGCTCCTCATACCAAGCAAGACGCTTTGATAGACATGACGCTGTTGCAAAATATACCCTTCTGCAAAGAATTTCTATTATGTTGTCCCCTCCCACATATTGTGTGAACTATCAGTGGTTCTTGCACTAATACAGGTATGGTTATGTTAGGTTCGGGCCCTAAAGCAGAGGGAAGGTTTTACTGAAGATTATAAAATTGCGTGTTATAGTGACCTCACTATCATCCAAAACAACCAAAACATATGTGTGTAAAATGTTTATTTCTTATGATTTATACAGCTAAAACAGCCTGGGGACAAACTGACCCCAAAGAACACAGACGCACATGAAGCAAAAAAATAGTATATATTTATTATTTAGAGAGGTTAGACATTAAGTGGGATCAAATTGACCCCAAAGATAATAGGAGCGTTAATGTAGTAATGGCAAAATGCTGAGTGCTTGATGGAGCACCAGCGTAGGTCTGTGTACCTCTGAAATTTTTGGATGCCGCGTCACGCAATGTGTCCGGTTTTGTATGCCCAAGATCTCATTGACATCGACCAAAAATGTGTGTGCAAAATATTGAATATTGGCATCGGCCCAGAACTCCCATGTTGGTCCATCCTTAGCTTTACAACCTTTGGCAGATATTTTTGAAAAAAGTAACCATGAAATTCAGTTTTCACAAGACGGCAGGTTTTGACAGGCAACCCTGGTATATCACTAACTAAATGTCTGTAATGATGAGCACTGGAGTGGTAACAGACGGCTTGTTTTTTCAGGTGCCTGATTATCTGGACCACATCAAGCAGCCCATGGACTTTTCCACCATGAGGAAACGTATAGACGCACAGAGCTACAAGAACCTGGACGAGTTCGAGGCTGATTTCAATCTCATCATTACAAACTGCATGAAATACAATGCCAAGGACACCTACTTCTACCGTGCTGCTGTTAGACTGAGAGATCAGGGCGGGGCCTTGCTCAGGAAGACACGGCGCCATGTTGAGGGCATTGGCTTTGAATCTGACAGTGGCATGCATTCACCTGAACTTCCTAATATTGAGGCATCTGCTCCATTCTCCTGGGAAGAAGGTAAGGAGTAACGTAGTAGCATAATGGAGCCTGTCTGCCACAACGTTTTTGGTTCTTTCGTTTTGCACTGGAGCTACAAGTCTGATATAGCTAATGATGGAAGCTTAGAACAGTTAGCATCATGCAAAGTTCAGGCTTTGAGAAAGCTGCTACTACTCTTTGTAGCTATGCAACATACTTTTGTCCATGTTTACAGATAACAGTATGTCATAGCAGTGCCAGAAACTACATAAGCAAGTCTTTTTGAGATTACTTAACAGCTCAGTGAGGTTTGGGCCAATGCCATTTGGTGTTACATAGGTAGCCGGGTATAGAATTTCAATACTTTTGACCGACTGAGTACCACAGAGTATTTGAAAACTTCGTTCAGTCCCAGATTTCAGTATCTTAGGCAGTCGTCTTTGCATCCATGAGCCAAAATCTAGATTTGTGATTGTCTAAATTTCGTTCTATATGCCTGTTATTAAAGGCTTATTGCCTTATTGATCTGCAGTATGTTGTAGCCCGCAAACACCTTCAGCACCTCACACATATTTCTAGTTTAAGTCATGACTTTCGGTTTGCATTTTAAGAGAAGATATTGAAAAAGATATTGTTTAGTAATTGTTATCAAAATCAGGGTATCAGTATTGATATTGATATGGAAATTTTTTTAACAATACCCAGCTCTGTATGTAGGCTCTTATTACTTAACTACTTTAGCTTTGTAGCTCCAGTGCTGAAGAACCAAATTCAGACACCATACTTAAACTGATTGAATACATGTGGAATAAAGGGTAAGTACACTTTTTCTATTTCTTCCTTCAGTGGACCGGTTGCTGATCCCAGCCAATCGGCAACACATGTCCCTTGATGAGCAGCTGAAGGAACTTCTGGAGAAGCTGGATCTGACCACGGCCATGAAGTCCAGCGCCTCGCGCAGCAAACGGCTGAAGCTGCTGAAAAAGACTATCAGTGATGTGAGGATGGAGATGAGTCTGAGGAGCAGCCAGCCACTCTCCTCTGAACAGAGAAGAGCAGCAGTGGAGCCTTCAGCAGAGAACAACTCGGCAGAGGAAGGTTTGTTGGTTTTGGACATGTACTCCAGGGTTACTTGGTTTATAGTGATGGTTCGATGAAATATCGAACGTTCATATTTTCCTTTATCCTAAATGTGGCTCATCACTCAAGACATGTTTGCACTGTATCTATGAAGCAAATGTGACTAACATGTAATAAAGTTAAATCCCACCAGTTAGCATTGTACAAACTGCTGCCTTATATTGTGGTTGACACTGTTTAACATTATCTGAAAAAATGGACAAAAGTACGTTACAAACTGAATGTAGTACATAGTTTTGACCACTTTTATAGACAATAGTGTCATACAGTGTCAGTAATCACTTAAACCAGTGTAATTGAGATTGCATTTTATAGATCGGCGCTGTTAGAGAGAAGTGATTTAGCCATGCAGTTTGAATGATGCTAATTGGAGGCATATTAAGCTGTCATTACTTGTTAGCAATATTAGCCCCTTAGCTCAAATGATAAAAAGTAAATTCTGGACACCAAACATGTCTTGGCTAATTAAGTACATTTGGACTAAAGTAAGAATTGTGTAAATTAAATTTTTGGCTGAACCATTGTTTTAATAATCTGTTAAGTGGCGTTTCCCACCAGCAGTACTGTACAGCACAGTATGGGTAAAATATGAACTCAGTTGTCACCGTTACTTGCTACACCTGTGCATTCTGGCTCTACAAGAAGTAAAACGGTACAGTACAGCTCACTTGGCAGTGGCAATGACGACAAGACGCCGATCACACGTTTGAACCGCACCATACTGTACTGCAGTGCCCAGTTAAATACCTATAGCAAGCAGCCGTCTTTGAAGAGGTGTCTAACATCACAAAGCAGTTGTGAGTTTTTATGGAAATCCTATTGTCTGCTCTCATTTTAGCCAAGTGGTGCTTGAACCATGCATTCCTGTGCTTATTGAAAGTGCTTGGTATAACAAGAGCTTGCCAAACATGTGTGCCGATGATAGAATTGGAGCAACAAACCGAAAATATATGTGTGTGTGTGTGTGTGTGTGTGTGTGTGTGTGTTAGAAAGTACCCATTTATAGTAGAAAAACCTTTCTTTAGTAGTTGGACATAGATGGTTGTGTCTGTGAAGAATGTGAAGTCTGAATGTGAAAACAACAGAGTTTCTTCAGTAACAGGGCTGAAAGTGCCATCAGTAATGGGGCTGAAAGTGCCAGCTGCACCCTGACTATCCTTTGCACATGTTGGCTTTGCTGTCAAAAGCCAGATAATGATGATTTATTTATAACATGATGGCTGCTTACTTGTGGTTCCTCAAAACCATGAAGTAATTGTTTTTCCGAAAATCGAGTTTACACAAATGTAGTTGATCAGTCAACACGTTTGCTTCTTTAGTTTTGCACTGAAGCGATGAATGGAAGCTTATACCCCACCAATTAGCACTGTACAAACAGTTCCTAAGTGGTTCCAAGTGTGTCAAACAAAGAGCAAATCTGTTTGAGATTTCTTAACATCTTGATGTGGTTTGTAGCAGTTTGCACAATGTAATTGGTGGAGTTTACGCTTCTAGGGCTGTCATGATCCTAAACATTAGCTGATGAGTATTTGTCATATTAATGATTGTGATTATTAACTTTAATTTTCTTTTCTTAATGATTATGTGCAGTTATTAAGGTGCAAACCTAAAGTGGCCAAATTAGCTTACTAGCCATCTTGCACTCCTAGAAGTGTTTACTTAGTAACGAACATTGGTGGTACTGTAGAAATAATACACTATTGTCTCCTGCCATTCTCAGTTCCAACAAACCTCATAGAATTTTTTGTCATTTTTTGCAGGCGACAAATCAGTACCTCCAGAGCTGGAGCCCTCAGACTCCCACGCCCCTCTCGCAAACACTGATGGCCCGTCTGAGCCACCTACACTGAAGCCCATTGAGCCCAGCCTGGACCAGCCCCGGTCAGGCAAGCTTGACGGGCACCAGGACGCCTTCCCGTCCCACAAGGAGAACCTCAACGGACACTCGAGAGACCGACTGCTGCTTGATGATGGCGATGTCAGCGTGGTTGCCACGTCGACCCTGGCCGAGCCCTCCGGTCCGGTAAACAGACGGACGTCAGTGCTTTTCCGTAAGTCTAAAAGTGTCAGCCCCCAGAAGCCTGTGCGAGGCGGGGAAGCCCAGGCAGAGCGTCCTCAGCTGGGCGCCAGGAACTTCCTGTCTGTGGTGATCCCCCGCCTGGAGACCCTACTCCACACCAAGAAGAGAACACGCAGTGCCAGCAGGGGCAGCGAAGGGGAAGAGGAGTTACCCGCCAAACGCCCCGACACTGGTACTGCCTGCAGGAACGCAGCAGTCAGAGCGGAGTGCAAACCATCCGATTTCAAATACACAGTTGTATGCAAAGGTTTAAAGACCCCTGGTCAAATTTCATGTTTTGTTGTTTTTAAGGTAGCACATCTTCTACAGTAAACAGACTTAAATATGGCATTTTTCTGTAAGTTTTAGTGTGCAATTTTTATTTATTTGCCGACTTTAACATATTGGGTAAAAGTAAAGCATAAAATGTAAAATGTACCAAAGCTTTTGCACAGGCCACATTTTATGTTTTCTTTTTTTCCCCAATATGTTCGATTAATCAAACAAGCAGTAATAGTGAATCACAATGTGCAGACGTGTGTTGCCTATAGAAGATACTGATTTTCACTTAGAAAATCAACAAAACATGTCATTTGAGGTGCCCAAACCTTTGCATATGACTGTATGTAGGATATTAAATATATACAGTACTGTGCAGATGTTTTAGGCCACCTGGGAAAATTATTTTTAATGTTTTTTTTGGTCACTCTGCATTTGTTTGCTTGGAACAAACAGTATAATTAGAATAAATTAGGGCCCAGCCATTATTTGTTAGCTAATATTACTGGCTGATATTGAGGTCCTACAGCTTTAATGGCAAAAATCGAGAACATGCTCATGTTTAGTGGCTTGATTAATGGCGGAAAAAACACTTTTTATACGAGGAAAACCATTAACTGCTGATGCTTCATGCTTGTATGCAAGTTTTTATATAGACTGCTGAGCTTACAGTCATCACTTGCTCATTTTCACTACAGCAATAGAGGCTAAGTTGGTAAATTTAAAACCTAAAACAAGATCATTGTTAAAATAAGCAAAATGTAAATGCTAAAGTCTAACCTTTAGCTTTAGGGTAATTTGATAACACATAAAAGTTTCTAAGAGCAAAACCGCAAAGAATTCTGAAGCTCTGCCCCCAAGCTAGTTTTTATATTATTTAAGATTCTGAGTTTTTGTTGTTTGTGCAAACCTGTTACTTAACAGTATTCATGTTCATTTGTATTTAATGTATTGTTTTTTTTTTTCCAGTGAAAATACACATACTGTCCAGAGAAATCTCCTCAGGTTGTCTGACTTTTGCACAGTTCTGTAAACAGATGGCACAAGTTGTATTGTTTTGGTTGTATTGTTTTTGAAAAAACGCCCAGAGTTAGTCTGACAGTTGAGGAAAGTGAGAGAAAAGGAGACAAGGGAAAAGGACATCAAATAGAAGCGTAGCATTCAGACTTGCTCTCAACTTCAGCTAGCTTGTAGACTGCAATTTGTTTCCCCTCAGGCAGGCTCCACTTTGCTCACTGCAGATTTTATTATGCATTTTGACTTCCTCTCGCTCTCTCTTGTTCTCTTCTTCTCAGGCCTGTCGAACGGTTTTGTTCTGGAGCAGCAGAAAGAGTTGAATCCCAGCAGGCAGCAGGAGCCTCGCCGCAGGTGTGCTTCTGAATCTAGCATCTCTTCCAGTGGCAGTCTGCTGGGTGCTACCAGGTACACACGCATTTTCAGACAACTTCAAATTCTCCATACTCAGTGTGCTCTGATGTATTGAGCGAGTCTTTTAACAGCAAACGTGGTCTTGTTGTTTATTATTGAGCAAATGTTCAAGGCCCTTGAAATACTGTACATGTATGTCTGTGGTGCTTTCAGGTTCATTTATCAACTACAGATGTAGAAGTACATGAGTTCGAAATGAAACCAATGTCAGCTGTGCCCTTCACTCCTTCATTCAAGCTGTACATTAACTACAATGAGAGAAACTGCAAAACTGGTCTTAAACTTTCCTTTTTCCCAAGACATGTTTGTTTATACAAAAAGAAAGTTGTGTTATTTTGCTTTAGTTTTGCAAGGCAGCTAAGATGCTGGTCACTAAAGGAAGCTTACAGTCATATCCAAAAGTTTGGGCGCCCCTGGTCAAATGACATGTTTAGTTGATTTTTCTTTGTTTTTTTTAATAAAAATAACACATTCTCTACAGAGAATGCACTCCTGCAAGTTTTAATGCACAATTACTGTTTATTTCCTGAATTTAATGTATTGGGTGAAACATTACCACACAAAATCTGGCGTCTGCAAAAGTTGCAGCACATTTTTAATGGTACCATTTTAATAAACTAAACCCTCACACTTATTTTCACTTTACTATCACTGTGATGGTGAAGGGCATCTGTTACTTCTTTATGTACTACATTTAAAACATTGCAGTGACTCTTAAACACCAGTTTGTTTGAGCTGACATAGCTTAATTGAGTGCATATTTTAAGTCACCCTGAAATCAAAATAGCCCCTTTATACATTGTTAGTTCATGTCCCTGGCCACATTTAGCATGATTAATCATACATATCATTTAAAATACAAATTTATATTTATTTGCCCCTAATCTTCCATCAAAATAACCTTTGTCCACCTCTAAAACTGAATTTTTGATTACATCTTAATACACCAGTGGGTGGAGAAAAATATTAACTCAAAATATCATGTTTTCATAGAGAGAAAATGCTCAGCTCGCTCGGGTGTCCCTGATGCCATGTTTCATTCAGAAATGCATCAGAGTATTAAAGGAAAATGTGTCATGATTTTTCCTACCATGTTGACTTGTGATAAAACTTGTGGTAGTAGCCTACTGTATGCACTCAGGACATACAGCACTGAAAATCAACTCATTTAAATCTCATTTAAATTAACCTCACATGCATTCTTCCATTAGCCTTCCATCTAAGCACTCTTTACAGTGTGAAAACTGTTTCATCTGCGGACTGTTTTATGCTGCGGTGGGTAGAGCAGCCTAAACCCACACTCAAGTAAAAGTATTGATATTTGGTAAAATAATGACTCAAGTACCATCCCAAAAGTATCTTGGATAAAAGTACAAAATAGTTGGTTAAAAACATACTTAAGTACTGAATATCTTGGAGAACTGCAGTGCAATTTCTTTGTAAATTCAGCATCTGTCAGTGCTGGACCCACAGTTTGTTTGGCTCTAGTGAAGCCTTTTGGGGATTGCAAAGTCAGAGGTAAGACCAGTCACAAAGCAGTACAGATGTTGTCACTAACAAAATGTAATTAAAAAAAAAAATTAGTATTAGATTGAGATCGAATGTGACAACATGCATGACATGCTGAGTTGTGATGCTCAAATTGACCAAAAAAATTTCCCTTGATTTGGCAAAGAACAGAAAATTTGCTATTTGGAAATTGTGATTGTGATTTTGATATAAAAACAATAAATCTTTCAAACTTTTTTAGAGATGATTCTGTGTATTATAGGGCCTCCAAAGGCTGTTACATTTTCAGTGAGCTGTTCTCTGGCAGTCGAGTCACATCAGCTATTCCAGTGTGTTAGAGCACAAAAAACACAAAACTGCAGGACTGGATTTCAGACAGCACTGATATACTGTTCCTAGCCTAAATCCATGTATCTGTATTTTGTCAGTTATTCATCAATTAGTATTGCTTGTTTAATGATTTTAAACTGTGTTATTTATGGACAAGATTGTGTATAGCACAGTTTCCAACATGATAGCTCTTTGAGCGTTGTGTGGTTTAGCTCTGCTTCATGACCTCACTGTGCATAGTGCTTTGTCTCTGCAGTGGGCTCAGCCAAATAGAGTTCTTTTTTTCTGTGGGGCCAGATAGGTCTAAAGAAAACTGTAATTAGAAGCATATTTGTAGTGATTTCCTAGCTTAATGATTTTGTCCAAGCTAAAAGCTAAAGAATGTTGAAGACTCCAGGACTGATAGCTGTATCTGCAGTGTATTGTCATGCACATACATTGAGCAGTGTTTGTTGAAGGCATGAGAGATGAAGTGTTTAATTACTACTGTTCTGCTTTCACACTGACACTTGTGGTTTTTTGCCTCTTTGTTATCTGCATGTGTGAAATTGAAAGCCAACCTACAAGCTGTGCAGTGTGTGTCATGACTTCATACCTATCATCAGCTCTCCGTAAATATACTATAGTTCTCTGCAGACTGAATATCCAGTACATCATATATATTATTTGGATGTCGTGACTGCATTCTGCATTGCTGTTATAAGGCTTTGTTAGGGGTTTCATAGTAGTTCGTCTGGACAGGCTCACTGTATTTCAGAATGTATAAGTGAATAGCGTCTCTCTCTGTGTTACATCAAAACATTTTTTTGTGCAGATGTTGATCAGATTTTACCCTTGGAGTCAGTTGAGTGTTAAACTTGACTGCAGCATGTGCAGATTCACATTTACTCTCTATTGTTAGAAAATCTCATATCTCTGAAAATCTCTTTATGGAATAGGGGAAAAAAAAACATTCTTAAAGTCTGGATGATTTCTCTTGGTCTGTTCATTATGAAAAGTTCACACAAAAGGCAGCTGATGTTTTCAAATGGTATTTAAAAAATGTACCAGTGTGCAGTCTTTCATCTGGTTTGCCTTCCTCAAAGTGGAATTCCACCTTTTTTTTATTTTTTTTAATTTCTGGATTGTTCAATTGTTGAGATGTAAACTAAAGTAGAGTAATGTAAAGTGGTTTGATGTGAAATGGTTAATTGTAGAGAAACTAGTGACTCTGATTTCTTTACAATGGTACTGATAGGAATTAGGGGTGTGTAATTAGCAAAATATAGACATCTGTTTTTTATTTACTATCCAACACCATGCAAAAATACACTTTAGCCCAACGTTTATCTGAAAACTTTCGTAAAACAATGTCCCCGGCATCAGACAACACATTTGTAACTGTTTCATGTAATAACTTTCTGTGTAAAAAGCTTTTAGAGTCTTTTCAAAATGGAGCGTTTCACATCAGACTATTCTGAATGAGCGTTTAGTCATGCAGAAATTAGACAGAACTCGCCTTTAACTAATGAAGATTGCGATGAGCAATAATCATGACCTCTTGTTGCTGTTTCACTGATGTATGATTGACCCATACTAAAGGTATAAAAGCTCTCTGGACTTACTGCAGTCTCTCTCTTCAGCAGTGTCCCGCTGAGTTTTCCAAAGTGTGGGAAGGGGAAGCCAGCACTCGTCCGGAGAAACACTGTGGATGACAAAAGCGAGCTCATCGCTTGCATTGAGACTGGCAACTTCGCCAAAGCCGCTAGACTCGCTGCTGGTGAGTAGGCAGCTGGACGTGTGTTCTGATGGTTGCAGCAGGGAGGTGTGCTCACACCAGGCAGTGAATGTGTCTGTGTGGGTGGTAGTCCAGTTTGAGGTGTGTGAGTGGGGGTTAGCTATGCACACAGATCATCCTTTACAAACAATGGAAGGTCTGAAGATACATTTGATCACCACTAGCAATTTGCAGAAACTGGAACAACAGTCCAGTTATTAAGTAAAAAAACGACATGGTAATAAAGAAAATACATTTTTGTTACAGATAACACCTGCTTTCAGTGGCACAAATCTGAACTGGAAATAAATAAAACCCTTTATGTAAAATAAATGTAAAATTATTTCAATATATAGGAATGTGCAGTGAAATCCAGCATCCTGGACAGTAGAGAACAATTCTTTATCCAAGGCAATGAATTCAATTTTTTGTCATTTCAAAATATGAGACTACAAATGGTGTTAGCATGCTAGCAGGGACTTTCTGCTTCTGTCATTTAGCTGTTATGAGCGTACTGAGTGGGATGTAGTGTTTTCAAGTGGTATAAAACCTGTAGTGGAGAAGTTTGTGGGTGTTGCACTTCCTCTTGATACGTGACCTGAACCGATTACACATTGCTTGTCTAAAGTCCCTTGTATATAGTGTTTTCCCCACTGTTTATCTGCTGCTGCTCAAACTGTTCGAACGCGTCTGCACTGACTAGCACAGGAGAGTGAAGGAAACAATGTTTTTAATCAGTTTTTCACGCTTTTATTACCATTAAAATGATTTGTAAAGATTTAAATTTTGATGCGTCGCTATAGTTGTATTTAATCTTTTCTTTATATAGAAAAATTAAATTTATATAGCTCTTCTCATTTGAATTCTAAAATATCAAAATACCGTGGTCTAAATGAAATAACAGCACACTTGCCAACATTCTGAGAATTTTTCATGTGGTCAATAAAATCTGAACTGAATCCGATCACTGAGAATACTGTTGATGCAATGTGTAAACAGGTCTATAGTTTTGAGTAATCTAACGATTAATGTGATAAATAATATAATAAATTAATAATGTGATAAGTAATCAGTTTTTTTTTTTTAAAAAAAAAAGGTCAAACAATAAAAATGGACTCAACTGAACGTCTTTCAGAAGCAGAGGTTCCAAATATGCTGGAAAAAAAGAGACGTGTAGAAAGACTTCATGAAAAGGAAAAAAAAAAATATATATATATATATATATATATATATATATATAAATTTAAATAACCGAAAGACTAAATTTAGTTGCAGCCAGTCAGTCTTCATCCTGTAATAACTGGAATGACCATTTTTCTGCATCTTGTTTTGATCTCTAAATGCACTGTATGTTTTTGAGTTAGTTGGTGTGTTGTGGTGTTAATGTTCTGCCTCTATAAGCATGGCTGTGGAAGTGTTCTGCTCTGTTTGCAGTGAACCCCTCATAACCTCATTGTCGTTATTCCTGCTTCCATAGAAGTTGGCAACAGCAATATTTGGATGCCTGCTAATGCTGCAACAGTTGTTCTGGAACCTCTAAAACTAGTTTGGGCAAAATGTAGCGGATATCCCTCCTACCCTGCCTTGGTGAGTGTGAGCGTGCTTGTGTGGAAATTAACCATGTCCCCCCTCCACCCCCTCCATCCAGTGAGTGGGTTGATACCAGTCATGTGCTAATAAAATGAGTGCTCTGAGGTGGATGTGTGCTTGTATCACAGTGCATTGGCAAAAATATAACATCATGATATTTTCATATAATCAAATAATGACAATTCATTATGCAGTACTATGCAAACCTCAGAGGCCCCCTTTTATTTATCTGATTTACAGTCAAAATGACCATTAAGTAAATGTAATTTTTTCAAGAGATATTTTTGAGGAGATTATATGGAAGATAATTAATTTTCATAAGAAAGAAGAACATTTAAAGGAAACTACATGGGGGTAAAAAAGGGAGTTTTGAAAACTTGAGTTCAAAAGCATTCTAAAAACATACAGGGGAAATGAGACTCCTAACAACTATGCAAGACCTGGTAGACCACCAAAACTGTCCCCAACAGATAAACAGTACTTAAAGCTTTCATCTTTGAGAGAGAGGAGAAAATCAAGCTCTACTCCTGATTCAGATCTGAAAAAATCCACAAGTGTTTTTGTCCATCCTTCCACTGTGAGAAGACAACTCAACACTATGAGTCTGAAAGGATGTGAAGCTGTCAAGCTGTTACTGAGGAAAATAGATGAAAAACAAGAACAATTGCAGATCAAAGTGGACACACAAAATACTGAAAATGTTATATTTAGTTGTTGAGGCACCTTTTTTTTTTTTTTTTGTTTTTTCACTTTGTTTCGTTTTGATTGGAAATTCAGTAAATGAAGTGTGGTGCCTTACCGTACAATATATGCAGAAAAGTGTATTATGATGTCATTTTTCATAATAATGCTAACATATTGGCACATTGGCACCCCTACTGAGATGGCTGAGCACATTTAGGGTGGGTATTAAGTATTTTCTGTGTCCACTAGGTGGCGACATTCTACCTCTCAAGATTTTAATGACCTATTTTTAATGCTCTGTATTCAGTAATATCCCCCTCTGTCTTTAATGGACTCTGGCTGTTTAAGTGCAGGTTACTGCCTCTGTGCCTTTGTAGCTATCAGACCTTGAGTGGATTCTCTGCAGGTTTCACCTGTTTGGTTTATAACCTGTATAATCTTTTGTTTCTTCTAGATAATCGACCCTCACATGCCTCGGGTGGGCTGCCATCACAATGGTGTGTCCATTCCAACCCCGCCTCTCGACGTGCTCAGGATCGGAGAGCAGATGCAGTACAAGTCCGAAGAGAAGCTCTTCCTCGTCCTCTTCTTCGACAACAAACGCAGCTGGTGAGATTTAAAGAGCCCCTTAGCTCTCAGCCATTATTATGTACATGCTGTTAAGTTTCTAGGCTGCAGCACTGTTAAGAATGTCTGTGAATATTATATTATTACAGTAGTAGAAGAGTATTTTACTTCCCAAAATATTAGAAAAATTGTTGTAGTTAAATATCTACAACGATATTTTACCTCACACTGATTTCTTGGTGTTGTTTAAACCAGATATGAGTGTGAGGTACAGGAAGTGAGGATATTTATTGACTGTAATGGATTAATAGATTAATCTATTAAGAAGTACAGAGGTTAATAACATTCAAACTGAATGTACTTTAGATAGCCAATCAGCAGTCTAGATTTTGGAAAAAGTTTACTAATTGGCTCATGGATGCTGATGAGAGGAATAGCAGTGCACAATCAGAATCGGCCAAGAACAGAATTGGCAATTTTTTTTTTGCTAGGCCAATTTATTGCTTTGATTTTGGTCAGTGTATTACAATTTTATGCTACAAATGCTGCTTCTACATCTATACCAAAATATCAGAGCATAATTATGTATACTCACTCTGTTAAACAGCCAGTCATCTCTTCTTTCTTTTTGATGAACTACTGCATTTGATTGATGATTCGAAAGGCTCATGTCACGTAAAACCAAATTCTCCTTGCTTTAATAAAACAGTTTGAGGAAGTATGCAAACATTGTTGAAGTTTCAAAACATACCATTCACTCCCCAGCCCACGCAGTTCATATATAGAAACTGTACTTCAAAAACGGCTCATTTTGAATTGACTGCTTCTGTGGTGTCACAGAAAACAACATATTTACATTTCTACACCTATGCAACCTACACCGGTTTAGTTATGCCCATTCATGCTGAACCTGTAAGTACACAATACAGGGCAGCCCAACAGAACAGAGATTATTTGCATTTATATGTCTTAAAGGCACAGATAAAGAAATTGGGGAAAATGGTCATATGAAAATAAATTGACTGTTTTTGATACATAAACCCACGTGTTTTATAAGTGGACAGGAAAAAAGAAAAAGGCTCTTTCAAATAGGCAGCCGAGTTTTCAGTTATGAATTTAAAATGACACTTTGGCCCATTGAAGAGCAAATGATTGTTATTTATATTAAGACTTGTTTGTTTCAAGTGTTCTTTTAGCCCACAGAGTGTCAGTTTTGGGTTGGAAAAAAGGCCAATAATAATCATCCATCAGCCAATATGCTTGTAAAGATCAGAATTGGAATTCACCATAAATATTCATGGTTATGCATCTCTAGAGACCAAATACTGATGTATACAAAGTTGCTATTGAACATAGAAGCTTTCAATACTCAATAGTAGTGCTGAAGTGTTTCGGTCGGTATGATAAAAGTACTGAATTTCGAAGCCCAGTCTTGGACACCAGTGGCATTTCCCAAATTTACTTCAACTTCTGTGAGTGTGCTTTCATTAGCTTATATGTAATATAAACTCTCTTGATAGATTGTGTGAGGTTTGTTACCTTAAAAAAAAATCCCCCACTCCCCACACTGGAATAACCATGCAATATTGTATCTCTAGGCAATGGCTTCCTAAATCCAAAATGGTTCCTCTTGGGATTGACAAGACCATCGACAAGATCAAGATGATGGAAGGACGCACTTCGGCCATCCGCAAAGCTGTTCAGATCGCCTTCAGCCGGGCAATGAACCACCTGAGCAGAGTTCAGGATGAGCCCACCAGTGACCTTAGTGACATCGACTGACCCGCTCAGCAAACTGCTCAGCAAACCTGGGCATGTGGGCGGATTTTAAAGCCTTAGTATTCTTTTTGCCAGGCTGGCACTTATCCAGAGGCGCCTAGGGGGTATCTCACAAAACAGGATTTCTTATGTATAACACTCGCAGTTATTGCCAGCAATAAAAAATTCTATATTAATTATTATTTCATTTATGGTCATTGAAACATGGAAAGTACAGATTCTAAACTTTCAATCTGTATCACATTTGTGTTGGTAACTACAAGATGAGATATTTTATGATCATTTGAATTTGATGAATAGTTATTGTTGTGCAGAGTCCAGTTTACTGGATTTTTGCCACTTTTTAATATTTCTTAACATCGAATGATGGAAAAAAGTCAGTCATATTAATGCAAATGGAATGTAAATATCTAATTAGTTCACTCACTATGTTATTACATACATAATTACTATTGAAAAGTATTAACTATTGACTTCCAAGGGTTAACCAGATAACTAAAGCCCACAGTCAGTCCTGTCCAATAGGAAAGAAAGTAATGGACAGTTCTTTTGGACAGCCTTTACTTTGGGCTCAAGTTGTCCAGCTAAACAGAGAAATCCTGCCTTATGAGATACCCCCATGACGTTCCCCTGAGGCCTCTTTGTGAATCTGTAGTGTGTCTGCTGCCTCTCTGCCCTTTTTCATCCTCCGCTCCGGTGGCTGCTGCTCTGTTGAATGTGTAGAGAGGTTTGATCATTTCTCCTTCACTGTGCTGACTGACCACTGAGTGACCAGTGCCAATTCCACTGCCACTCGCCACCTCCATGTCTTTCACTCCGCCTGATGTTTTCATTTCCTCTCACAGAAGTGTTCATCTTATTTAACAAACTGTGTAAATAACTGTAAATGGCCCCATGCTAACTTATTCTGTAGAGTTACCGCAGTGGGTACTGTACATTCGTTATTTTTTCCTTTTTTTAAAGTAGTATTTATACTTTTTTTTGATGAATTATCTTCAGCATCCCCTCGTCTTCCTCACTGATGCAGGAAAAAAGTGAATCGTGTGAAGCTCAAGCAGGAAAGGATGCGTGATCAGGGCTTGAACATAATGTGAGACTATATCCTCTTCATTTGTTTTTTTTATCATTTAAATTATTGAAGTTTATATGCATAAACTTCCCTTTGGTATTAAATGTTTTTTGTAACCGATGATGTTTTTTACAACAGTTTTAGCGCTATTTTGTTCTGATATATTTATATAACTAAATATATATCTGTATTCTTCAGATTCTCACACAGAAAGTCTTGTTGTTATGGAAACTGAAAGTTCGTTGTTCTCATGAAACCAAAAGAAAAAAAATGCTGCCCAGACATTTCCTCTTTTTTTTTTAATTGTTTTTTTTTTTTACTTGATTCGTTTGTGTTGTTTGAACAGTTTTGCTAAAGCTGTCCTGGTTTTTTTTTATTTTTTTTTATTATTATTATTATTTTATTATTTGATAATACAACAGTTTGGTTGTGCTTTTGGGACCTTCATGATCATTGTAGAATGATGTGCCTGTGTTTATTTATTGTGATGGGGGGGAAAAAAAGGAATCTGCATTTACTTTATATTAAATGGGAAAGAAAGAAACGAGTCATTAGTCGCTTATGGCACATTCTGGTGGATCTCTATTGATTGGCCTTTTTTTTTATTATTATTTTTTTTTACTAAATACTGTTGGATATGACTGTTTAGTGAAATTGATTACGTTCATTTAGTTGTACTCTGGGTAGCAAAAGGTAGATGTTTGGATACCTTTTTATACATTCTAGAAGTTTCTTTTATTTGATAACAGAATGGTTGCTGGGATTTCTTTTTTTTATATAGATACACTGATAATAAAACAGGCAAAAGATATGAACCACAAAAGAGTCTTCAGTTGTTATTTCCATTATCCAGTGCAATAAAAAGGTGTTTATTGCCTGTATTCAATCCTAATGTCTAACTCTAGCTGTAAGGTTTATGAAGCTGTTTAGGGTTCTGCCACTGGATGGCACTGTGGCTTCAGGAGTGTGAAAGGCATTAGACAAATTTTACAAGTGGCTTCCTAAGGATGTGTTCTGCGTACTTCTCGTTCAGTCTTACATGTTTTTAATTAATTGAATTGAAACACTTAAATGTATAAACATATGGCTATGAATATACTGGCCAGTCGGTCCAGTCATTAAATTTAGGTTAGAGATTGTAAGACCTATAGATGGTGGCATTAGAACCAGTATGTATTACTGAGTCTTTGGCTAAGTTGGCAAAAATATGTACATAATGTAGGCAGGGCCATTTTTGTTATTTATAAACCTAAAATAGCATGGATTCATGAATATGAGAGGCATTCTATGAATTTCACAAGTGGATTCTTAAGGATGTTTTGTAGTCCTCAATCAGTCTTCATAGCTGAAATAAATATCAAACTAAAAATACTTTTAAGAATTGAAAAACTTTTTTAAACATAGAACTATAAAATCTACAAGCCAATGAGCCCAGACATTTTATTTAGACCATAATTAGGTCATAGATTCTAAGGCCTATAGATTGTGGCACCAGTATTTATTGGGTTAAGTTGACAAAACTATGCACATAAAGTAGTCAAAGCCATTTACCTTATTCATTGCACAAAGTAAATAACAGGTAGGGCTTTTTTGCTGTTCATAAGGATGTGTTGTAGCTGCCATTCAGTTTTTGTTGCACAGAAGCAAATCAGAAAATCTTTAATAAAGGAATTGAAAACATAAAATATACAGGTCAATCAATCCAGTTACTCTGTTAGGTTACAGATTTTAAGGCCTGTAGATGGTGGCATTAGCACCAGTGTGTGCTACAGAGTCTTGGGCTAAGTTGATGAAACAATGCACATAAAGTACGCAGGGCCATTTTTGCTATTCATAATCTCAAAATGGCCATTGTTCAATGTTATTGGTGGAAATTTGAAACTCTTATTTGTGCGCCTAAAACATATCACTTTGAACTATACTGGCCAGCCACTCATTTAGGCATCATCACCAGTACATATTACTGAATATCAGGCTAAGTTGGCAGAACTGTGTACATGAACTAGGCAGGGCAACCTTGGTATTCATAAAATATAAAATATATAGGCCAGTGAGTTCAATCATTTTACTTAGGTTAGATATTTTCAGGCCTATAGATAGAGGCATTATGTGGAGTCTTAGGCTAAGTTGGTTAAACTATGTATATAAAGTAGTCCAGGCCATTTTGTCAGTCATAAACCTGAAATAATGTGGCTTCATGAATATAAATGGTGTTGCACAAATTTCACAAGTGGGTTCCTAGGGATGTATTGCAGTCCTCGTTCAGTCTTCATACTAGAACAAATTACACTTAGAATGCTTTTAGATATTACTTTTTACATATCACTTTGAAATAAATAGGTCAGTGAGTTCAGTCATTTAAATGCTTTTAGACTGTAGCATTGGCAACGGTCTGTATTATGGAGTCTTGGGCTAAGTTGATAAAACCATGCACATAAAGTAAGCAGGGCCATTTTTGCTATTTATAACCCAAAACAACCACTGATCAGTGATATTACCAGAAAATTTTAAAGTCCTTCATATCTGCAACTATGAAATTGACCGTGTCGAAAGGGCCAAGCTAGCTTTTGATTGTACTGCTTAGAGCCCGCCGAAGGTGCGGCGCTGAATGCAAATATGGCGCAGGCGCCACTTTTGTCGTCTTTCTTTGCTATCAGATACTAATTGCACGGGGAGGTGAGCGCCACGCTCAGGTGGAGAGGGTGGCAAGTGGAGCATGAATATCAATCTACCACATCAGTGTCATCAAATGACTTTGACGGCGCCGAAAGTGCCCTAATTATCCGGACGCACTCAGGAGGCCTAGCTGCGTTTGGAGAGGGGCTTTGAGCTGCTCTGATCGAAGTCAGCAGGTGAAGCCCAGAGACAACCCAGGGGCTCTATAATCCCTCACACGCACGACATGGAGGTGTCGCAAAGGCTTCAGTGCGATACGTCAACTCCAGAGGAATTCTGTAGGGTTGAGGAAAAGGATAACCAGCCCTGCTGTCACATTCCATGGATGTGTTTTTTTCAGCTTTTGCTGGCCTGATATTCCTTGTTTTTTCCACTCCACTTCCTGAATTCATGGTTCATGGACATTACTCAAGTACCAATTAATTTGCACTGAACTGTAATTTATGCACTATGATTCATTTGCTGCAGTAACAGCCTCTACAGTTCTAGGAAGGCTTTACACTAGAGGTTGGAACACTGCTGTGGGGGTTTGATTGTGTTCGGCCACAACAGCATTAGTGAGGTCAGGTACTGATGTTGGATAAGTAGTTCTGAATAACCCCAGCTCATCCCAGAGGTATTGGATGGAGCTCCATCTCTCCAGAATGCGCAGTTGGTCCACACCCTAATGCTGGGGGGGGCTTTATGCCCTTGATGATGCTTGACACTCCCATTGTGCTGGGAATGAACTGTTGCGCTGCTCACGTGGACCACCGAGTGTCACAGATAAACCTGTTTGAACTGAGAGGCTGACAGCTTATTTTCATAACTTGGCTAAAAGAAAGCTAACAGGCTACACGTCTCCTTCATTACAGTTTGTTTATTGTGTGTTACTGCACACCAGTGGTGGACGAAGTACGCAAATCATGTACTTGAGTTAAAGTAGAGATACCCAAGGTAAAATATTACTGCAGTAAAAGTAGAAGTTCCTCCCTTTAGACCTCCACTTGAGTAAAAGTACAAAAGTATTTGCCTTCAAATGTACTTAAGTATCAAGTGAAAGTACTAAAAGATTAATTATGGCTCTGATGTCCTATTATCATTTTTGTAACAAGACTCGCTTCATTAACTCATTTTTGGTGAAAATACTCCAGTGTCGCTCTTGGTAAACCAAATCTTTTAATAGAATGTCATTAATTAGTCACTGATGTCTATTAAAATGATCATAAAGCACAAAACACTGAAGGCAAACAATTTCCATTAGGTAGAATCAACTGGCTATGAAATAACTTTTTGCAAACAATCAAAGTTTAGTTTAAGATTTATTTTTCAACTTAGTTAGAAGTTTAAGTTTAATAAAAACTTTAAACTCAGGTTCACAAATGAGTTTTCCTTTACTAAACTGCATCTGTAGGTCTCTGTTCATAAACATAAACCAGCATAAACAAATTTACTATAAAATGAAATAATGTTTGTATAAATTCAGAAAAAGACACGTCAGTCACAACTGCATATGTGTACATATTTCTATATTGTGGTCTATTTAGACAAAGTTAGGTTAGTTCATCATTTATGTTGAATAGACTCTCCCAAAATTTTACACTGCTGCACTGACATTTAATTGTATGCTTGCACTGGGTCAGTATGTCCAACAGGTCAAAACAAAGTGTGCACTGTGCCCTGATTGGTGCGCTCACTTTGCGCTTCTTTCGTTTTGACATGTTACGTTTTTATACACACAAAAGCCAAAAGGAACGACAGATTTCACATAATGTAGTGGAGTAAAAAGTAAGATATTTGAGTTTGAAATGTAGTGGAGTGAAAGTTAAAAGTCACCCAAAATAGAAAAACTTCAGTAAAGTACAGATATATTAAAAAACTACTTAAGTACAGTAATGAAATACATTTACTTAGTTACTGTCCACCACTGCTGCACACAATTCAGAATATCTGGAGGTCAGATGTTTCTTCCTTCTGTCAGTGTAGCAAAAACTCTGGACGCATTTGAATGCACTTCACTAACATCATAAATTGCTTACACACTCTTTTCAGAACACTCAACACAGTTCTTCATTTCTAACCACACATTCTATGAGACTCCTAATGATTTTTTTTTCAAAGAAGAAGGTAGAAAATGCATAAATTCAGAAATCAGTTACAGAGCTCAGACTGCAACAGGACACATTACAGAGCTTTTCTCTACACTCATTTGTCAGTGACAATGCAGAAAAAAGTCAACTTATATCAAACTTTACAGTGAAAATAATGCAAATAGGTAGAAACATACATGAGTGTGTAATAACTTATAATGCACATATGCATGTTTTACTTCATGCAGTAAAGCCACACAGAAGTATTCTGTATGAACTGGCTGCACCTGCCAGCTCTCAGCCAATGAGCTTCAAAACAGCAAACTGACACGTGAAAAAAAACAGCAACTACAGGTGCTGCACAGCTGAAGCAAGCTGAAAGAAGAGGGGAGGAAGAAGAGGAGTGTAGAGACAGTAGGAGAGAAACAGTAGAAGTTTCTAGTATGCACTGGGCCTGTGTTCTCCTGTTGAAGTCATTCAAGCTTCATTCCAGAACCAGCTAGTGCTCTGATTTACACCTCCCACCATATTCACCATTCCTACATCCAGAAGAAGAAGAAAGTTTTCTCTTATGGTCTTGGAAGGTCTATGAGGTCACTCCACTTCACATTTAGGAACATCAGAGTCAGGAGCTGCCAGGAATGGACAACACATTCTAGAAAATTCTAGAAGAATTTTAGAACACGTTCGGCAAGACAGCACACTGTATGAGATGTTGATCACCTCTCAGTGGCCAAATAGAGAAAGACAAGATCCTGCATAGTTACATTTATTTATTTATTTATTTATTTATTTATTTATTTACAGACAACACATTGTAAATATTTCAAATAAGCATTAATCTGTCAGCTGACTTCACGTTTTTACATTCTTAAAAGTATGGTATATATTTTGCATATTTTGTAAACACAAATAATAAAGCCATCATTTAATACTTCAGTACATTTATATGACCTGTCTTTTCACTGTCTCCAGGTTGCAGATCTGCATTTTCTTCTGTCCAAAAACAGCAGCAAACTCACTGAGACAGCCGTGTCCTCGATTCCTCTCTGCAGTGTGGAAATCTGATTTGTTGTAG